AGCCACAGGTGATGTGAATGGCATGGATCATCTTGTTAAAATACAATGGAAACCTTGGGTGGCTGTTACTTTGGCATGTACCACACATCGAAACACAAAACTGCTCAGAAACAGCTACATGGCAAAAAGCCCAGGGCATTGACCCAGCCTCCAAACTCCCCAGATTCCAATCTGATCAAGCATCTGTGGAAAATGCTGGAGGTAGCCTGATCCTCAGAGGCACCACAGGACACCCCCACAGGTCCTGTCTTAACGTCATAGCTTGCACACAAAGATGGACGAACCCTCTGTGATGTCACCTGTAGGATTCCTGAAGAGACGTTTTGAAGCTCAGCATGGTTGCTCTGGTCATCGCCATCCTGGTCGTTCATGACTCCTCCTAACTCCTGAATAATCCAAAAATATAAAACATTAGCTATAGAGACCAAAACAGGTTTTTGTACCAGACTGTAAACAGGCTGTAAAGTTAAACATTTTGACATCATGGTCTATGGAGAGTTGCTTGCTTTTGGAGCGAGCCTCAAGTGGTCACTCGAAGCACTGCAGTCTCAGTGTTGGCTTCAAAACCATTTTTTATGTTTCAAGTGTATTTCTAAATATAAGACGAGACAAAGAGAGGAGGGAGTGAGTGTGTGTTGTACAATATATTATTCCTCTCCTCTTATTTTGCTTTTCCTCACATGCCCACCCTCATTTTTTTCCTTGCTTTCTCAGGCTCTGCAAGGTATCCAGGTATCCTTCGGTGCTCCTTTCTCTATGGAATAGATGGCACTGTGTTGGTCTGATGGTTGGCAGGCATTTTCCTTCTACTACACGTGAGCAGGAGGTAGAGATATTTTATATCTTGTCAGATTTCATCAATCTCACTCTAAAGAGACTGTGTTGTTTGTTAACATCAGTTTAATTTATGTAAAGCCCACACAGCTACGCAGGTGAAAATGATTTCTGTTACTTAACAAAACGTGTTTGTACAGCTCATAATGCACATTAATGTTACCCTTATCCTGGTATACACGTGTGCACAAATATGCGAATGCTTGAGTCACAGTGCTGATGTGACTATTTATACCTTCTTCTGTCACCCACTGAAAAAAGCAGAGGCATGTATCAGTCTCTTAACAAATGATAACTGCAAGGACAGAAGAGATAAAGAATGACACCGACACAAAGAGACACATTTCAAGGTATGTGTGGTTGTGTGTGTCAGTGATAAAACAATAATTTGACAGCCGATACAGGGGAAGCTGGTGACAAGAAAGCAGGGAGAGAGAATAAACATGAAACTTACAGTGTCTACCTCATTGCCATCATATTTTTCACATTACATCACTATGTAATACTGAACTAACTTACCCTATGAAGACCATATTCAGGGTCTTCTTTTGAGACAGCGTTACAATCTAAATACCTTCAACTGATTTTTAATTCAATCTAGCATACAAAAGGAACAGAATGGATGCCTTTGGACAGCTCTGTAGCTGTGTGTTTGCTGCATAAAGCACCAGTTGTCTGTATCATTGTTAGTGAGACTAAATAAAGGTCACTTTGTTCCATGACGTTGGCACGTCACTGATAGAATTAGAGGACCTGGAGAATAAACAGAGGATTCTCAGTGTGGTATTTCTGTCAGTAAATATAAGAACTGGGATGATTCTAACTGCAGACAGTGTTTTAGCAAATGAAAGTGTTTTGCTCTGATTGAAGTCTTCCTCAGCAAGACACCCTCTTCTCCTCTTTAATGAGCATTTTGATGACAAACTTGTATGTCACCGTGTTACATTAGTATTTAAATGTATATGGAATGACCCTGAGTTAAAATAGCATATTGTTCTTTGTTGTCACTTGAGGAATCAGTGCAAAGCCCATCCTTAACATTAAAAACCTCTATTGGTAAAAGTAGGCCATGTTTGAATTACATTTACAACGGCAACTCTTCGATATGTTGATAAACACTGAGGTTGAAATGATTTTAGATGCAACTAAAGAATAAAGACGACACACAGATCTTTTTAACTTCAAGTCTCAGACTGAGAAGACAAGACACTTGGTACAAGTCTCCCTTTTCCTTGGAGGAGGTCATCAGATAGAGGCCAGCTGTAAGGCAGCTGAAATGACTCTAAAAGTTGTGAAACTTTTAGTGGCTCCACCACTAACTTGTATGATTGCGTCATTATTCTTTAGCTTCATTTGTAACAGTTTAACTCTTCTTTCCTCACATGTGATCGGTGTAGCAAGTTAAATTGTTTGTCTTTGGTAAAGGTCATCTTGAGAACACACACTAAACAATGTAGGTTATCAGTAGACACACACACACTCAGACACACACAGACACACTGCAACACACACGTCTCCGTTATGGTGGTATTTCAGGGTGTTTGTCCATAAACAGCAGAACTAAAGGTCTGAGAACAGGTTAGCTTAAGTCCCATTCAGACATGCACTACAGTCCATAATCTGACAGCAGCATGCTCCATTTCATGTCTAAATTAGCAACTTTCTTTTCTACAATTCTACAATTTCATTTGGCAGATGCTTTTATCCAAAGCGACGTACATCTGGGAGCAGATACAACACAAGCAAGGATCTAGTCAGGAGAAAACAATCTAGATAAGTGTCATAGAACAAGTTCAAGTGTGATAGGGCGTTGATGCCAGTAGCAGGCTGTGTGGAAGGCAATAGGTTTGTTTTTTTGTTTTTTTTTCGGCCTGTCAAGTGCAAAGGTGTTCAGTGAAGAGCTGGGTCTTTAGTCTTTTCTTAAAGACTGAGAGGGAGTCAGCAGATTGAACAGAGTTTGGTAACTTGTTCCACCACCGCAGAACCACAGAGGAGAAGAGTCCAGCTGTCAACCTCGGTCCCTTTTCTGTAATAGTTGCAACAGCAATCACTTCCATGTCACTTTTAACACGGCACAAGTCTGAACCACGCTGACAGGCACACATAAGCGGCACTACTTTGAGCTGTGTTAAGGAATTTGAGGAAGACTTCTTCCACATTTCAGCACCAATACTGGTCCAAAAGCATCACCGAGAGCACAAAACACAGAGTTTGTGTACCACATACAAAGACCTTTTTCATCCCACACATCAATTAGGCTTCAAACTGAAATGTCCATAAAAATAAACTTTACTACGATAAAAACTACCAGCTCAAGTTAATGACACTCACCAATAATGGATATAATCTGCATTTTTGTTTTTAAAACATGTTCAGTTTGTTGCTTCCAGTTCTTGAATGTATTAAATACCTGCAGTGTCCGATATCCAGGATCTCTTAGACCATCGCCAAAGTGAGAGTAGTATACAGTGTGTACAGTTGCTTTATTAATTACTTATAATGATTAATTATTGCCAAAATGGGGACAGTATCAGTTCGGGTCAGTCACACTGTTGACTTTAAGACAAGTGAGCTGTCACACACAGAGTCAAAGTTTATACAGTTAAATCCTTTGTTCCTGAGCTCCATCCCAGCTCAGGATATTTTCCTGTTGGCAAAGTAGTTACATTATCACCACATATGGACAGACCTTTCAGTGTTTAGGAAATCAAAAATAAACAAGTCTATTAGTGATTTGGACTGTTTGATAAAATTACTATTTAGTTCCGGAAGATATCACTCTTATGATCTACTTACTTGCAGGCTCATATTTGGAAAGTCAATAATGTAGAGCTTTGCAAGTTAGTGGCCAAATAACAGGAGTGTTGTGTATTTAGACAAAGCTCCAAGATAGCTATTTTCTTCCAGCGAGCACATAAAAACATGAAGAGAGAGTCAGGAGCAAGCATGACCCAGCTAACTCCTAAATACATAATTTTTCATTCGATCTTGTGGCACACTAACACCACAGGCCAAGACTTTCTGTTTAGTTCTGCAGAATACAAAGAAACGAGACAGAAACCTATCACTGAGTGAACTGAGGTGTGGATGAGCAGCTGAATCAACACGCTGCTCCATACTACCTCTATTATATCAACTAAAAGACAAGAATTCTCTCCTGCTGATTGTCCTGTGTTTGTGTGTCTGTTTGTCTGTGTGTGTGTGTCTTTCTGGCTGTCCGTGCAGCTCTATCAGGTGTCACAACACAGTCGAAGGAACTCAAACAGCAGTCGAAGTTGATATAAACCAGTTGATATAAAAGTAGAGACTGTGCATTATTTTAAAACAACCATGTGAGCGACTGCATTGAGTTTCATGAGTAGCAAAACGGCATCAGAAAAGCAATTTCTTCCCACTTTTATTTCAATAACATACTGTACCCCCAGTTGAAATAAAGTCATTTTCTTTGTGCTTTTTAAAACGACATAAAGTAAACACACTGTCTACACTACCTGTGCATTTTCCTGTTATCTCTGACCATCTGATAATCAAGGGTCTTGAGTAAATGAAACTCTAATGAACAAAACCTTTCACTCTGAATTATAGGCACTGTTGGGTTTCCTTTTTGCTGAGCTAAAATCTCTTTAGAATCCTCTATGCAGAAAGAAAACACCCTGAAAGTATAAACAAGGCTACAACACTGTTGAGCTTCTGCTCCTGACACAAGCAGACGTATAAAGAGTTCACCAGGAGAGGGCAGCAAAAGACACGTGGTCACATACTCATCACGACTCCATGTGTGTCTTTTCTCTGATCTCTGCCGTTCACATGCTGTTGCACATCACAATAAACAGTTTTAACTTTTACACATATTCAAAGATGCCTTTTTTCAACAAGTCCATGGGTTTTATAGCTAAGAGTCCATTGTAGTTAAATTTATAAAAAGTTGCATGTATTCGACTCCATGCAGACATAATATTTATTATGTCACTGCAGTCGTATTAAACAGTGCCCCATGGCCATATCAAAACGTTTGGTGGACTTCATTAAGATTTTCTGGACCTGAATTAAACAAAAACGTAACAAAGATTGGAAGTATGCACTTGCAGTAAATGATAATCAGATTAGGGTGTACATTGAACCTAACGCACACAGCAGCAAATCCAGAGAAATCATTTAAACAGAGCAGGATTTAAATGCACTTCCTTTGTGTCTTATAACTGTACAGTGGTCATGGGTCACACACTAAACATAGCAGCAACATAAAAAGAAATACCTGCCTGAGTAAGTGTGGAAAAAGGAGCTACTGTAGTTTATGCAAAAACAATGACTTTAGGAAAGTTTACTTCACAACGCAAATGTATAAAAATACTTTGCATAACAACAATATCACAACCAAGTCACTTCATAAAATGAATCCAAAAGAAATCAAATTCTTCAATATAGTTTTAATTGAGTGCAACATGTTCTGATGCAATTTGTTGCTTCACTTCATAGTAGGTGCTTCTCTCAAGTGGACAAATTGTGGAAGTGCAGTTGGATTAAAAGGATCTGAAACGTCTGTCACTGAATATTTTGAAAATAGCTTGTCACTTTACAGCTGTAAAACATAGGAGCTGAAAGTTCAGCTACTCCACTGTTCCTCATTTAACCGGCAGCAATCTGCAGACAATCTTTTTGTTATCACTTGCTCAGCACTTTCATAACATGTAACCAGTGAGTGCAGTGGTCAGTAGTTCAGCCAGCAGCTGTTAATGCTTTTATCACGTAGCTGAAACCACTGAGCATTCAGTGAAACACCAGATTACTGGACATACCCCTTTTCAAAGCTTTTGAAAACTTTATACAGTTTTCTACATGTTAAACTGTTTTAGAAAATAGGAGAACAGCAGCAAAGCATTTTACATGTAATTTGAGAAGGCAGTGAACATTAGCATAGGATCCAACATAAGTGGGGAAGGTTATCTGGCTATAATATACAATATTGTACACATTTAGGCTGTGAATTGCAAGGTCTAATAGCTGAAGGCAAAACAAGGATCTGATGCTATCAGTGGACACACTGGATCTGGCGGCCTCAACAACATTATCTCCTTATTTGGGCCGGCCCAGCTGTCCCTTCATTTAGATTAGTCAAAGAATTAAAAATAGAATCAGTTAGTTCTGGTTCCTGTCCTCTTTGTGAAGAAAGTCTTGTCTTGGTGTCCTCCTTTAGTCCTTTGTTACTATGGTGGTCATGTCGTCTTCGGTTTCTGACCCCCCTAAAAGCACAGAAATATTAAATAATATTTGTCAGTTCTCAATCTGTCAGTTCTGAGTAATATTTTTTACACTAGTGAATTGAATCATTTCTTACCGAAGCACTTCCAGAAACTCTCTGATCTGTACAGCACGGCGTACAGTAAACCAAACACCAACAGGATGCCAAAGAAACCTCCAATGACGCAGCCAATGAGAACTGAGTAGCTCGCACCGTTATCTGAAGAAAAGGCAAGATTAGAGTGAATGAATTAGCAAGATGTATACGTCCAAGTCAGTTTTTGTATCATTGTATCAATTTTTGTGTCCATTTTTTGCATCATTAGGTGGGGCCGATGAAGAATATTACACTGAACTAAAGTCACTGAAGATTTTACAATACAATTTGATTATTTATTTTTTTTTTTAATTAATATAATTTTTATTTTATTTTTTTTGCCTTTATTGACAGGATAGTAGAGAGAGGAAGACAGGAAAATGGGGAGAGTGGGGGAAGGACCTGCAGCAAAGGGCCATGGGCTGGATTCGAATCCATAGCTGCTGCGTCAGGGACTATAGCCCTCGTTTACAGGTCACCCGCTCAACCTACTGAGTGACCAGGGCATCTGTAATTGGATCTTGAATGAGAAAATCTTCACCATAAACATGCAGGACAGCAGCAGCAGCATCAGGATTCTTTGACTGCTGACAGATGACACTTGTGCCGTTGTCTGGAAAGGAGGTTCCCCGGAGGGTCCACACAGCCAGTGACTCTCCATCCTTCATATAACAGCTTCCATAGAGAGCCTGAAAAGAGAAAGGAGAACAGGATATTTATAAGAATATAACCATAATGTGAGCCGGGACGGGATCCAGCACCCCATAAATCTGCACAGTGTCGGCAGGTAGATGTAATAGATACCTGGATGATGAGGGCAGAGTGGTGCAGCCGAAATAAATTATGGTCAACATACCACCACTGCAGGTATTAGCAATTTTTCGAACAACAATTTTACAGTGTTCCCACAAAACCATAATGAAACTCAGCTCCTGCTGGTATGACGAGACCAGTGGTGGTTTCAGTACTACATGGTGGAGAAATCCACTACTGAGTACAGCAAACATTCAGAACTTCAAATGTAGTCGTGGATGTCTTGACCTTTTGTCGTCAGCTTCGCATTTAGTTCATGCACGTCATATTTTCTTTGTGCACTGGTATGCTCTTTGAATCCTGTGTCAAAGGCAACCAGTAATTATGTATAGAAGCAACTGCAAAATGCAAAATGCACTGAGGGGGCGGGAAATGTTCTTTACATAGCGGTTGTCAGTGGCGGCTGGTGGAAAATTTTGGTGGGGGGGCACAAACGACCTTTTATTTTAAATAAAAAAATTAGAATATAAGTAACATCAGGCACAACTATTTCCAGGAATGCAAATGTTCTACCTTTGGAGGATATTCTAATCATAATCTAATTTAACATTATTAAGACTTACCAGAACTAAATTTCAAAACCATTCATCAAATATTCATCAATATTTACAGGATCTGTACAAACTCAAAACACAATTCAGGACTCCAGATTAATGTTTTCACTGGTAGCACTGGTGCGACCCACTTTCTCATTTTGTTGCACCTCCCACCTGGTCAAAGGCAAAACGTATGACTTGCTGAACATTTTCTTATCGATAAGACACAACGATTTACTGATGCTCCCTAAACGCCTCACATAGCAGGCTGTGGTAGATGCTGTTGGTGGCTGTGGTGTGCCATAAAAAATGATTTTAAAAATAATAAACTGGGCATTATCATGTCAGATTTGTCCAAAGTTAAACCGAGTTACATGTATTCTACACGCGGTCTTTTCTATGAGCAGAAAAACAGCGAATCCAGGTCTGTTTCTCACGAAGGGACCTCATTTTGAAGTGTAAATACTGCAGTAAAAGTTCTACTTTCTGCCACTGTGGTTAACACAGCAGCTTCCTGTGCCGTTTACAGCGACACTAATACAGCTTCATGACCATCATGCTCACCAATTCACACACTCAAAAAAGGTTGCAAGTGCAGTCTGGAGCCCTGCGAACAAAAATTTGGCTCTTCTCTTTTTCTGCTCAGCAAACTTCTCAACTGCTTTTTGGTTGAAGTCACTCATCTCTGTGGTCAGCCTTTTCCCAGTTGGCAGCATGGCCAATGCATTAGGCCATCATTACTTAGCTGTCATCGAGTAGCAGAGGAGGGCAAAGGCCGTGTGACGGTGTCAGATATTTAAAGCGCAACGTCAAAGTCAGTTTTGATGTCCAACAACAGAAGACAAAAGCAAATACAGACAAAAGTAATTGGTTTACAGCAAAAATGGACGGGTCTGGGACGCACTGAGCTGCGCCCTGTGAGAAAATCTCCAGCGGCCAATCAGAACCCGGGCCAAGGTCACATGATCACGAAAAGTTTTTCGAGCTCCATACACACTCATGTGGCCCCGCATCCAGGAAGTGTAAAATCAGTAAACACGCAGTAAAGACTGATATTAAATCTGTTAATGATATAAATATTGTGAATACAGCAAAAGCATGTTATTATTAATTTTATTATTATTTATTATAATTAATTCAAATTTAATATTGTGTTTGAGAACTACTTTTTATCTGGCCATTAGTAGTGGGGCAGTAACTAGCCACTAAATGTGGAACAGGGACGCGTCCTGATTAAAACAACAACAACAACAACAACAATAACAAAAAAACCCACTCAAGATAACAGTTAGAAAAACAACCCTGTATGATGTCAGATAATCTCCACCTCACCTCGGGGATGTCTTCCACGTGGCCATGAGGGCAGGTGAGGCTGTAGTTGCCGTGACTCCCGTAGAAGGTGAATGTGAGGTTTGGAGATGTTTCGGGCACTCCACAGCGAAACTCTGCCGGTTCTCCCACAGCCACTTCGACATCCACTGGACGTGTGCGGTAACTGAGAGCTGTAGAGTTCAGTGCTGAAGTGGTGCTGGTACTGACTGTGGTGGTGTTTTGAGCTGAAACAGTGATTAGGTGTTGATTGTACGTATGTGAGAGATACAGGACGTAAAAGACAGAAAAAAAAGAGAATATTATTGGATAAAATCAGTACATAGGTACACAATATATATCTTCAATTTATTTATTACCAGCAGTAAAATCTAGTAAGCCACTTTCAGTTTCAGAAAATTGCAGATTGTTACATATATGAATTAGAATTAGAATTAGAAGAATAAAATTGTATTAATCCCTTTGGTACAAGACCTCAGGGAAATTGCTAAATATATATATAATACTCAGATTGAGTTGTGTTGTTGTTACATGCAAAACAAATATCCGCCCTTGCTGTTTGCCAATCACAAGAAAAATGCTACTTGAGACACAAAGCAAAGTCCCTTCCCCTGTTTGCAGAAGAATGAGGAAGTGTGACACCAAAATCCCTCTGACATTTTAATTATAAATGTTACAGATTACAAGATGTTGATCAGTGTGAGACCATCCTGCCTGCAGCTGTGGCCAGTCTGAGAATAGTACTTCCTTAGAAACAGCAATATATAGATGTCTTCAATTTAGAATGTGCTGTTTTCAGTGTAACACAGCACTGTTTGTGTATGAAGCTGGCATTTTGAAATTGGGGATGGAGCTAGTTACCTGAGGAGGGTGTGCCGATGTGGAGCAAAGCCAGAAGCAACAAGCAGACATGAGAAACTTTCCTCTTCTTCCTCATTTTACCTTTTCTTCACTTCCAGTGTTTTATTCCATAAATTAATCTGGAAAGTTTCAGCAATGTAATTTTAGTTTTCAGACAGGATGAGTCCTTCAGAAAGAACTGTTGTTACAAACATTTTAAATCAAAGCTTTTCAACTGGATGAGAATTATATTATTATCAAGTATACAGTAAGTCAAGGTCTTAGTCCTTTTGTCATAGACAAATGGAGAATTTCCCATTTCAATCTTAATAAAACAGTGACATTAGACAAAAGTAATAAATACAACCATATTGTATTTTCTCCCCTCTAGCATTTCTTTTTCCAGTGAAATTGCCTTTGAGTGTATTTTTTGTGCCATACCTTTTGCTGTAAACATCTGAAAAGCACACAGGCAATCTCCATTTCATATAAACTCTTGTATTTTGTTTACTGAGTCTTTGTCATTAATACCTGCTGGATGTTAAAATTTATTTGTTAAAGAAGTTTAGCAGTTCTTTGTGCCAAATTTGACTATTTTTTTCTTTTTTTTAAAAACATAACCAATAGTGTGAAGTAAAAAAAACAAAAAAAGACAAGAAATAGAAGATCATTAACACTAACCACAATATGAACTGGAAATCCCCAAGCAGCTCAGTAGGTAGCTTCCTTATTTGAAAATTATAGTGTTGCTCCTTGCAAAAAAGTCCTACTTTTTATTTTTTTGCTGAAATCATCTTCTCAGAAGTCTTGACACCTTCTCAGAGCTGGACTAATACATATCTACTCCCAGCGTCTAGTGAAGAGACTGTGTCGGCACACGCTCCATCCTCCCACTCTAGCCAAGGAGGAAGTCCAGAACAACAAGGCACCTGAAGGAATGTGGACGACTACCTGACTGACAAGGTGAATTTTTGCAAACATGTAACAGACTTGTTGAACAGGTATGGCCTGGACTAACAATAGCTGCTGGGGATAATGCTTTTCTGGAACCACATTGACTTTTTGTTTTTCTCACACGCACAAACAAATCTGTTGCACCTCTTTTCCTTGGTCATCCTCCAGCCTCTTTACTTTCCACTTCTCAAACTTAGAGAGTGAGCTTTAAAGTGAAAATGAAGTTATTTACCTTGTTAACATATCCACACTGTGTTATTTATATGTTTTATATGCATGGCTGAGCACTTCCATCTTGAAACTGTAACAGATTTAGATTTACGGGGTTGAATACATAATAAACCCAGAGAACAATCCTGTCATCTTGCAGTGGGGGGCTTTCTGTATTATTTTCTTCTTCAGAATCAGTTTCCCAGACCCAACATGTATGGCAGTACAGCCATAGGGTAGAGTAGTTTTACAGTATTTGAGCAAGGTCTTAGATGAGCTGGTGTGCTCATGCAGGGTATAGAGTTACATCTACTAAAGTATACTACAGAAGGAAGGGATTATTTTTACACAAAAAAATTCAAAATGTGTAGCTATGATACATGGAGGTGATGTTGTTTTTCAGTGATCGGTGGGAGACTTTACATGTTCCTTTAAAATAAGTTCTTCTTTCTAAAAAAAAAAACAAACAGTGTGACCTGCCGCCCTCACAGCAGAAGTTGCATGCAAAGCACACTTGCACTTTATCTTTGAGTGTCCTGCGCCAGTTACTCAAACAAGCATATTGTTAGAGACTGACACAACTATAAATAGAAGGAATACACTTTGGCTTTGTTTCTTTAAATAGTGCAGGCGACTGCACCCTTTTAATTGTGATCTTTAGTATTTACTTTGATGGAGAAAATTAAAGTACATGTGAGGTGCACAGGAGCAAAAGAAGGAAATTAGTTTGAAGGGAGACACAAGCAAAACAGGAAAGTACCAACGGATGTAAGACACAGTAGCCTGCTTACCGCAAGTTCCCCATATCTACAGCACCCTCGTATGATACGTGAATCAGCTGTGCAGCTATCTGCTACTGATCTCAGTTTTCTAAAACATGTCCCTGTTCCTGTTAAATTTCAGATTATTGCGATGACTCATTAAGGGGATGGAAGGTGGGGTCAGTTGGTCCCTCCTATCACATAAAGCTTGTGTCTTCTGAACTTCACTTTTTTTTTTCTCTGCATTTCTAGAGCTGTGGAGTTTATTAATTTCGGCTGCTGATCCATGCTACTAGCTGTCACGTCCACCGAAAAACCATCAGATCTGATCCCAGGACCTCAGGGCCACTCTGAAATTTGATGTTTTGTGCTCTTTGTGTTAAGAAAATGATTGCAGTGCTGGTGCTTCTCATCATAAAGCCAGGTAAGGAGAGACACTTTTTGAATTTGCCTTTCAAGACAAAAGACAAGATTGTATTTGGACAGACTTTCTCTTTTATGTACCCATCTACACTGTTTTATTCATTTCTTGTCATCGTTGCACTGCTCTACATGGTTCAATACAGTGCAACACTAAATGAGGAAGATGAGACAGAAGTAAACAAGAAGAAGAAGTTGTTAGATTGTCCAGATGGATACACAGGAATAATGATCTGTCAGAACCTAAAGGAGATAAAGAAAAATGAAATGATGCAGGGGCATGATTCATACAAGTTCACACTTGTAGCCACACAGCCAACCCTTTTTTTTTCATAGTTTCAGGTGCTTTGAAACTGTTTCAGTTGCTAAGAAAAGCTAAACTCATTTGTTTTGTGTTACAGCTTTAATGTTCTATATAGGAAAGCCTTTAGGAGCTTGCTGGGGCTGGCAGAAAGAAAAACGTGCAAACAGAAGAAAGAAATCTGGTGCAATATTAAACACCTAGACAGTGTATAATTAGCTTTTTAAAGTGAGTGTAGTGACCTTACTTCAGGAGGGTAGAAAATACAAGCAACCACCCCCAACATGGACACAGCTTTTCAGTGGAGGCATGTCAGCTGTGGTGCAAGGAAGCCTGTACGCTCTGCTGCAGCCCCATAACACAGAATGTCACACAGGTCGGCAAAGAAACACTCTGGAGGATGCGGGCATCGATCCCGCTACCTCTCGCATGCTAAGCGAGCGCTCTACCATTTGAGCTAATCCCCCATGACGCAATATGTGGTGACGTGTTTTTTTGGATTTTGTCTGGACCGGGAAATAGCCAGACGTTGTGCCTGTTCCGATAAGAAGCAAAGTCAATGCGGAAGTGCTTTAAAATGCAGTATCGCTGAACGCCGCGTGGTGCTACGTCCAAAAATCGCAGGGCGTCACGCGAGGAGCACCGTCGCCCCGCAGCTCGAAGGTCGCTGGTTCGCGTCCCGGCCTGGGGTCTTTCGGTAGGTGTGAATGGGAGTTTGCTTGTTTGTGCGGCCCTGTGACAGACTGGCGACCTGTCCAGGGTGAACCATGCTGGGGGAGGCTCCAGCCCCCCTCCGCTATGCTACAGATTTATGATTTGGCTGTGTATGAATAATAATACATTTTATTTTGTACAGCACAATTTAAAGTCAGGCGACATCTCAAGGTGCTTCACAGGAAGAAGAGTAATAAAATGAAAATCTGAAAATTTAAAACAATTAAAAAAAATATATAAAATACTCCAACAAAGCCCTATTTAAAAGCAGAGTAGAATAAATGAGTGTTTAGGCTGCTTCTGAAGGCAGCAAGGGAGCCAGAGGCCCTAATGGAGCCTGGGAGCTGATTCCACCACAGGCACGGTCCCTCATGGTTGTGAGCTTCGTGTGAGGACTAACTAGACAGTTCTGGCTGCTAGACCCGAGCGACCAAAATGAAGACTGACGGGTGAGGAGGTCCTGATGGTAGATCGGGCCACTGTGGTTCATGGTCTTGTACACATGTAGGAGAACCTTGAAAGTAATCTGCTGGGGTATTGGCAACCAGTGAAGGGATTGGAGAACTGGGGAGATGTGTTGTGTTTTCCTGGTTTTGCTGAGGACACGGGAAGCACTGTTTTGGAAATACTGCAACTTTTGGATGGTTTTAGATATAATGGATGGATGGATGTTACCTTCATGCCATGCAATACGGAAGCCCTGTTTTAATGACACCGATCACCTCCCTGAAAGCAAAGGTTCCCTCACAACAATTCCCCCTTCAGTCTTTTGCATCGGCACTGCCCAAAATGATTGTGATTTCTTTAAAGAAATACAGATAGGCCTGTGCATGTTTTCGCTCATAGCAGAATAATGATGAGGTGCAGCAGACTATTCTCCAGTGATGAAACAGCTCTGTGGAGAAAGGTCTGGATGTATAAGACTAGTGACTGGTTGGTGACCACAGTGCAAAATTTAACAGCTTGAGCCCGATATCTCTAGAAGGAGTTGATGGAGACAAAAAAGAAAAGAGCCAACAACCTACTGAATATGAGATTTAAGGTGGCTGGGGACAATTGCTAACAAGGTCGCCTTATCAGAGTGAGAGGTTGCAACCTGACAATGCTGTGGTAACACAGTGGTACAACAATTTACACCAACCACAACCCACTTCAAATCAGATTTTCTCATCTGATTACTTTTCACCCTTCAATTTTTTTGCAGTATAATAATTGTTGCAAAGTAGTTTGCTTCTTGATAAAACTATTAAAATGCATTACTTGACATGGTTTATGTTGTCTCAACAGGAACTATAAATGCGGATTGGTCTGTGAGGTTGGAAAACCCAAATCCTTGTGCTGTGAAGGGATCGTCGGTGGAGTTGAGGTGCTCATACAACTATCCAGACGGTGAAACTGTTCAAAAAACTGCATGGTACAAGGGGGACTTGGTTGATGGCTTGTGGAAACGTGTTGCTCTGTCACACCTTCCATCATATCAAAATCGTTCTGAATATGTCGGTGACCTGCAGCACAACTGCAGCCTGGCACTTCATGACCTGCAGAATGACGACGCTGGGTATTACTACTTTAGGTTTGACACAAATACATATGGAAGGCATAGTAAAACATCTGTGTATCTGACTGTCACAGGTAATCAAGTCATTCTACAGCATGTTCCTCTTCAGGTTTAATGTTTTCAGTATCTTAATATCACAATCTCTGTGTTTGACTGAATGACGTCCAGAGCTGAAAGCCAGAGTCCATCCAGAGAGAGTGCGAGCAGGAGACAATGTGACTCTTGAATGTGGAGCATCGTGCCAACTTCCCAACACTGTCTGGTTCAAAAATGGACATCCAGTGTCAAAACCAAATTTCACAGTTCAGGCAGAGGATGCTGGGAATTATTTATGTGCTGTTGAAGGGCAGGAGTCAGTGCAATCAGACCCTGTGACTCTTGATGTTCAGTGTAAGTACAGTGATGATGATATTGTTGAGAAAAGCTCTTGAATTTACATGCTGATGAATTACAGTTCTCTCATGAGTATTTTAGTTTGAAGCTAGGTGTTTCTTGATTACTTATACTTTAATGTGTATAAATGTGGTGTAAAAAAGATGAATGATTAATGATTATTTCATCTAAAGAAAGAGTTCAGCATTTGGTGAAAAGTGCCCATTTTTGACCAGAGTTAGACGATAAGATTGATGCCACTCTCATGTTGGACCAATACCCTTGAGGCTTCACCAGCTGCCTTTTAGCTTAGCTTAGCACAAAGATTTCAAACAAAGAAAAATAGCTCAACTCTGTTTGAAGGCATACAAATCTTTCCAGCAGTCTCTCTCTAAGGGGAAAGATGAACACAACTTTTTATGTCCTCTGATTGCAGACTAACTCTTTAGTTTGTGCTAAGCTAAGCTAACCTGCTGCTACTTGTAGCTTTGTGAAAATCATGTTTCCTTATCTACACAATAACACGTACGTTCAGGATAATTCAGAAATAATCAAGAACTTAATGTATGCCACAGCACACTGATTGTGTGTCTTTTTTAAATACAGATTCTCCACTGAATGTGACTGTTGAGGTGAGCCAGGCCGGCCTCCTGATGGTGGGCAGCAGTGTCAATCTGACCTGCAGCAGTGTTGCTAACCCTGCTGCAGACAGCTACACCTGGTACAGGAGTACTAGTCCCAGCTCCCTGCTCCAGGTGGGGTCAGGACAGGTGTTATCTCTTCCCTCCGTGGAGGCGTCCCACACTGGACTCTATTTCTGCCAGACCAGGAACCGTCTGGGAGAAAGCAACTCAACTCATGTGCTGCTGACAGTGACAGAAACAGACAGTGAGTGTGATGGCGAAGCTAAACTGCGCTTAGCAGTCACAACCTGCATGACTGATATCTCAAACAACTGGAGAATTATAGTTTAAAAGTTGCCAACTATTCTGGTTAAAAGGATTTTAGAGGTCTGGGGAACAGTTCTTTCTCATGCCATCAGCAAACAAAAGTCTATACTTTGTCCAATGTGTTTTTTTTTTTGTTTTTTTTTTGATGTTTTGAAAATGTGTTAAGTTTAACCCTCTGAACCCCAGAACCAGTTTAAAGATCATTTTATCTTTAAAATAAAAAAGAAGTCAAAATTACACCATTTATTTTCAGCTTTCTAACAGTCCTTGAACTAATTATCTTTTTCTTGAAACTTAACTAAATCTGAGCTTGAAATCATGCATCATCCAAATATCTTTACATTAAATAAAATTTAAAAACAAAATTAAAAAAAAATTCTGCAGTCCTCAGCACAACCAGGAAGCCATGATTGACTCAGCTGCTACCAGGAGTTATGTAGCAAAGGTTCTGAGACTTTTCATCTGAACTTCTGGCTGTGTTTTCACAGACAGAGAGGCGACAGCAATGACATTACAGAGATTATGAGATTAGACAAATGATCAAGTTCTCTGAAAGTTGTTGGGAAAAAAATACATTCAACATGTTGAAACATCCTTCTAAAGCTGATTTGCAGAATAACGTGAAAAACATAGAGTTTGTAGAGGCTGTAAAAATGTAAGTTGTAGCACATGGAGTCCCAGTTTCTTCACTTCCAATAACACCTGTAAGCACTTGGAAGAATGTTGCACATGTTGAATTCAGTTTTGTTTTTCCTCCACTATTTACCAGCTATTAAACAAACATCAACTGAATATAACTATTGAATGTGTTACAGCTTGTTAGGTTAATTTCTCTAAACTTTTTGTCCCTCTACTAACAGATCATCGTCTCATCCTCCTTGTTGGTATTGGAGTGAAAGTGGCTATTCTGCTGTTGCTTCCACTGTTGGTAATCTGGATTTGGTGAGTAAAGTTGCACATAGCATCTTTAATTTTGCAGCCGTTGACTATGCTTCTTTTATGCCATGAAATACTTTAAGAGTTCAGTGTGCAAACTTCTCTTATTTCCCTGTTTAAGGAGGCAGTGGCGTAATTCTGCTTCAGAAACAGAGGTGAGGACGAGGATCCAGTTCTGTTTACAAATATCACTCACGAATCTCATCAAATATCTGATGTTGTCTCGTTGTGTTTCAGAATCATGATTATGAAAACATCCGAGCCATCAAACGGGTAGAAGGCTAAGAAACATGAGAAGCAGGATGACCTTTCGTTACAATAGATAGATGACTCGGCACGTTGGCAAAAGAATGTTTGTGGTTTGTTTGCTACCGGTAGCTCAACTGAGTTCTGAAAAATAGCTGAAGCTGAGCAGCAAGATTGCCAGTATTAATGTTCAGCCCTTTCATGGATGTCTCTAATGCTGGAGAAAGAACTGTAAGAAAACATGACTGATGTTTATTCATCAGCTGAACATCCATTACCTTGAGTATTACTTGAACTTCGGTGATGTTATTCACCCAAAGTAATTATTTAAATTCTAGTTTTGTACCGTGTTTGAACAGTGTTGCTGATCGGAAAATAGCTCCTTCCAGTAAATGATTAACTGCTGTTGCAGCAGATTGTATTTACAATCAGAGGTTAAACCAGGATATGCTGCCCCCCTGAGTTCAAAAGACACACGTACAGCCTTTCCCATGGCTGGGTTGAGGCTGTTGGAGGTTTATATTTTAGAATGTGAAGTGTTTTTAATGGTAACAGAAATAACATTTTGAACAAATGCTGGCTGCTAAGTGTATAAATTATGTTCTGTATGGCATATTGTCCTGGTTATTTTTGTATTTTTATGTCATTATCATATTTTGCTATGCAATAAACTTGGTCATATGTACATATCAAGTTTGCCTTTGAACAGTTTTGTAAATCTTGGAATCACTTTTATGCATCTCAGAACATGAGTTTTGGTATTAGAAGCTGACTGAGCACAATGGGAATACTCACAATACAATATGTGCACTACTAGTGACCTGCTCTTGCAAAAACATCAGATAAATGCTATAAAAGTAGAGTTAATGCAACATGTGCAAAACCGGTAATGATGCACTTTATTGTTTGCTTAATCAGCATTTAAAAATAGAGGATGTGTGAATCAAGTTACACATAATATCACTTTGATGTGCCAAATCGGACAAACACAGAATTCTAAAAATAGACTAATGAAATGAAGAATTGATATCCAAGTCCATTTTGTACATGAGCATCCTGGTGTCAGAGTCACTGTCCTCCGGGTTTCATCCGTCCTGACTTCTCCTTGTGCTCTGGTCAGTATCTGTTCCATCCTTATCACATTGAAGAGTTTACTCTAAAGCACACAAACAGGACTGACTTGGAACTGCTTGCTGCACTTAATTGGATCATTATGACTGGATTTTCTGTCGTCGTCATCGTGCACAGTGATAACTCCTGCAGTGTTCTCTGTCCCTGGACATTGCTTCTACAGTAAAGTAGAAGTTGGCGTATTTGAAGGGTGCTGTTAAGAGCCAGTGAAAGTAAAGGTTCAAACAACAGCTCCAGATGTTGCCTGTGGTTTTCATATGTGACGAAGCCTCAAGGGTGTATTCAAATCCACATCTGTTACTGAAACACTTCAGCCGACCAGGGCACAAAAAACTGTTTTGGTAATTATAGGGGGAAACAGATTGTATTCTGATTTTTTTTGTCTTATAAAAAATACTTCTTGTCTGGGTTAATTCCTGACAGTGGTATTTAGCTTGTCCCGCAGAGGAAATGCACTAAGAATGGAAAAAGCAACCAGCTAGCCAATAGACTGTTTTCCATTTTCAGGTCTATTTTAAAATTAAACTGCTCCTCTCTTAATATTCAACTTCATCCTCTCTCAGTTCAGTGCTTGAAGTCTCTGTTTGCTTGAATGTGCAGTGATGCCTATTATATGATTTTTAGGTTCACTTTTTACTGTGTACTCAAGCAGGCCAAAAGGTACCAATACAACCAGAGTGAACATAACCAAGAGTGATAGTTGACATTCAGGGAGAACATCAGGGTGGCCTGTATTAAGTACATGTGCTGTAAAAAGATCTCTTTTGGGTGTAGGGTGTTATGGATGTGACTTTGTTCTGAATAAGTCCTGCTGAGTCTTTAGGGTTCTGTGGCTCTTGTTTCAGTGAGGACGTATGACCGGTGTCTGGATGACTTCCGTTTCCTGAAAGCATAAACAAAAAAAATCATTTGCATTTCTATTTTAAACACTTCAATGACTTTAATTTATTAGGATCCTGAGTTACTTAAAAAAAGTACGATTAATAATTTATTCATGCATGTAACACAGACACTGTAGATCTTTTGGTAGTATTTACACCATTGTGGACGTTACTCTAACTTTTAAGTGGCAAATTACAGTCACCCGCCTGTTATGTTGCAGGCCAAACTGACCCATTTTAGAATAAATAAAAAAACAAACAGAAGGAAGGCATTTTTGGGGGGAGAAGTGGAAGATGCTGGATGAAATGCATTTACATGCATATATATGGCTCTTCATACAGGCTGGGCTCCATAAGTCAAAGGATGAATCAGTCAGTCTGTAGGATGCAGAGACAGGCAGGGCTATATTTTGTGCCACAGTGTCTCTGGAGACTTTTCATATCCAAATCTTCATGACTCATTTGTCTTGATTTTAGGTCAGCGGGTCAATTTGACCCTGAACAGAGGAGGTGTCTCGTGTTGATTTGCCAACATCAATCCGGAAAAAGAAAAAAATGTAAATGTAAAATACAATTTTTTCAAAATCAGTGTGATGTAAAACGATTGTATTTTGTATGTAGGTCTTTCCAATGTACATTAAAAAAAGTTTTAATATGCATTTCTTTTAATGAACCATGACCTGTGAGAGGTAAAGAACACCACTGCACTAAATATATATTTAGTAACAGAGTTAATGATGAGATATACACAATGTTTACTGGGATTTTTTGGAAATTTTCTAAGAAAATTTTGGATACCCCCCCCCCAAAAAAAAAAAAAAATCTCATTAAACTTAAACTGCACCTGCATAAAAACCATAACAGATATCAAGACATGGATTTAGACAAGTAATATTCAAAGCCTTGTGACCCATGTGAACTTTGAATGAAGTTTCTACAATATGTCAGAGCTACAAGGGTTCCAAAGATGTCTGAGTTTTGGCAGTTGTCCAGTCAACTTCCTGTTCATTTCAATGGGAGTTCTCAACACATTTTCTAAAGAATTTTGAAAAAAACCGAACTACAAATCATGACCAAAAGTCACAGCACACCATTCCAGATCCAGCTGCACATTTTGATATATGCTGTGCACGGCTTGACACCAAACTACGGGAGTTCTGGAATTATTTGTTAAGTGTTGTTTGCAACAGCATACAAACAGGGCTGTCCTACACCTGCATACAGTCCCTGCTGTTTAAAAAATGTGCTTATATATACTGGCAGTTCCTGCATAGAGTGGCCTGGTTCACCACTGGTTTCTCACAGATTTCTTTCTTTCTTTCTTTCTTTCTTTCTTTCTTTCTTTCTTTCTTTCTTTCTTTCTTTCTTTTCACTTCGTACTCACTTTTGTGCAGTAAAACACAGTTATAGGACCAATAATCAAAAATATAAAAAATAAAAAGAGATTATTAATTTTCCAAAGCGCCCTTAGGTGTTCCCAACATTGTCAGAAATTGGGAGTTTGACATTCCACAGATAGGCTAAATATTTTTGAGTCATGCTTAATTTTATTACAGTAAGCAATTAGGTTTTATTTCCTTTCTTGTTCCATCTTTTCCTCTCCTCTCTGCTGTGTAAACGCTGCCTGCAGCTATCCTGAATGGTCACTGATTTTTTGCTGCATGACTGTTGGTTGCAGCTGAGGCATTTTTTGAAGCAAATTTTAGCATGTAGGATAAAGTAATTTTGAGGAAACATACCAGTTTTCTTGGAGCTTTATTTATTAAAGATATAAACAATGTTTACTGAGATTTTTTAGATTTCGGACACTTTTGGATGATTAAACATGCCCCGGGTCAAATTGACTCTGGAACATCACTGCTGATACTGAGAAACAAACATAACAGGAGAGTTAATTTCTCTGGAAATCTGGATTATATAAATAGCTTGAGCATCAACCTATAATTTTACCGCACACTTTCTGTGACTATGAGATATTATGTTCTTCACAATGCTTGAAAGTTTGAAAGCAATGTCTATTTTTATTTGATTTTTTATTTAACTATGTTACTTATACTGTGCACCAGTTCAGCTAATGAAACTCTGAAGGCATCTGAAGTGAAAATCCTGACAGCAGATAAAGAAAGAAAACGACAGTGATTGTGTGTAAGAGAAGCAGAGACTCTACCTTGTCATGAGAAAGGCAATTACTGCTATAATAGCCAGCAGGATTCCAATGGTGACTCCGATAAGCACCAGTCTGCCACCTGAAGAGTCGGACGGGGTCACTGCTGCAGTGGACAGAAGAATGGAGAGGTACTGTTTACATATGTATATAAATTACAGGACCTGGCATTTGAAGCATCTCTGTGTGAAGTTTTTGTGAACTGAATGAAACAATGTGGGAGAGGCAGCAGAAGGTCATCACAGTCAAAACTGAAGTTGAGTTTGTGCATTATGTTCAATAAGCGACAGGATGTTAATGCACCAACCTTTTGAGCCTCTGAGTGTTATGCTGTAAGTCTGTGAGCCATGCCTGTTGCGTGCTATACAACAGTGATGCCCGTATTCCTCAGTGGTGATGTTGGCATAGCTGAGCGTTGGGCCTCTTCCTGAGGGTGTAGCCGCAGTTTGTCTTCCTCGATGAAAGCTTTTGTCTGTTGCGGGGAGGCACGCCGCACCCTGGTACCAGACGAATGTGTGCACGGGTGGGTTAGCATCGCTGCTGCAGGTCAGAGTCACAGGGAGCTTGTCCTGCAGCTCCCCCGGAGGTGAGACTGACACCGTTGTGTTTCGAGGGGAATCTAGACAAAGGGTACATAGATGATCAGTTACACATAATCATCACATTTTAACGCAGTTATACAACTTTGAGGGGAGGTTTGTGGAGTTTCTTGAGTAAATTATAAGCTGCAATGCTTTGTCAGCAACACTTTGCTTAACTTCTGTTACCATCCATCTGATTTTTGGAGTTTTCCAGATGTCAGAACAAACTATCCATCCATCCATCCATCCATCCATCCATTCATCCATCCATCCATCCATCCATTCATCCATCCATCCATCCATCCATCCATCCATCCATCCATCCATCCATCCATCCATCCATCCATCCATCATCTATACATCGCCTAATCCTCACTAGGGTCGTTGGGGGGCTGGAGTCTATCCCAGCTGATTTAGGGCAAAGACGGGACACCCTGGACAGGTCACCAGTCTATGGCAGGGCCACACTTCGAGACAGACAACCAAGCACACTCACATTCACACCTAAAGACAATTTAGAATCACCAATTAACCTCAACATGTTTTTGGACTGTGGAAGGAAGCCAGAGACCTCGGAGAGAACATAAAAACTCCACACATAAAGATCCTGGGTGTCCTATCCTAACCTGACGGAGATGGTGATGGTGCTAACCACTGAGCCACCTTGCAGCCCAGCACCAAACTAGGTAATGAATAAATGATCAAGTGCAATACAGATGTTAACATAAGAGTGTAGATTTGAAAACAGGTCAAATTACACTTATGCTTTACTTACATTGTACATTAATTGCCAGCGTTGTTGAGTTCTGCACTTTATCCCCAGTCTGTATTTGACAGTAGGAGCTGCCATATTGATCAGATGTAACTTCACTGATATTCCACACCTGTCCACTGTGTTGGAGGCTGCTGCTTGTGCTATCGTACCATCTGAAATGGGCCTGTGGACCAGCTGCAGGGCTGCAGCAGGCCAAACGTACGGCTGCACCCTCAGTGATGACAGTGGACGGACTTGCTAACACTGTGACTGCACTGGGGGACTCTGTAGAAAACAAGGTTTAGGAAAGTCGAAAAGTACTTATGAGGTTAGATTCCTTTTTCAAGCAGAGAAACTTCATATTTTAACTCAATAACTGTTCACATGTTAGTTGGGCAAAATGACATCCAATGTGAGTGCATGAAATTCTTTTTTTGGGGTCTCGGCTAGGATTTTAAAAGTTGTTTTTACGAGATATCTTCTTCATGTGCTGTATATATTTAACCCCTTCCACCCTGGACGCTGCTGTGCCAGGACCATGCTGTTAAAAAACAAGGCCACCGTTTCTCAAAGGTTTTTCCAAGTTTGGTCACATTCACTGAAGAGGCTGAGTTTTGATTAGGTGAAAAAAAAAAAAAAAATCAGTCAGTTTTGCTGGAGAAAAAATAAGACCAACAAGAGTATGGCTTAACACAGGTGTTTCTCAATCATTACTTGGAATAGTGGAGTGGCAGAATAAATCCACTTCCGAGGCCAACTCTACCCTAGACACACAGAATGAGTCAACTCAGTCGCTTTTCAATTCTGCAAATGGTTTAAATCCCTTTTTCTGCAGCGTTCTGCAAAGACAAATCACAGTTGTCCTTAAATCTTTAACTATGATAGTAAGATGACTACAAATTCAACGAAGGATTTGGTTAGAAAAATGAAACTGCTCTCTGACATTATGAAACAGAGTATTATGTCAAAGTTCTAAACAGCCTCAGTTTCAGTTCTACTTCTTATAAATAGCACAACATGTTAAGTAAAGGGCTGCACAGCAGAAGCTGTTGCTGGGTAATGTAATGGTACTCAAACAACAACACTTGACATTTAAATATTAAAGAAACTGGGGTAAGCAAAGGTTAAACATTCTTAATTTCAGGTGGAGGTCTTGGTTTGTAAAACGTATCAGCCACTGGTCAGCACTGTGTTTTTGTAACAGAGAATCGACACCCAGAGAGAGGAATTCAGACAAAAATAAGACAATTAACAGAGACATATTCTGTGAAGTGGACAGAGAGACTGACCGATGGACAGGAATGTAGCAACAGACAGAGAAATAGTAATTTGTTAGATGTGGTGACAGTGACTGAGACACAGACACACACACAGACAGACACAGACAGGCAGATAAAAACAGTCACGACATAGAGGAAGAATAAATAGAAGGCCTCTGCGGTTTGTCTACATGCTTTGTCAGTACATACTGAATTGAGACTGGTAGAGATTTGAAATGCTTTTGAAGAATAGGAGAAAATGAAAGCACATTTATATTTTCTAGATAATATTGAATTGTGGAGGATAGTATCTGTGATATCAGTGCTTTTGCCATGATTATAAAGTTAATGGTGTAATTGTGATACTTGTATTGGTAACGGAATGGGAATGAACGTGAGTAATGATAACGTTCTGACCTGCCACCAGGAGCTGTATGCCGCTCTGCTCCGGCATCTTCTCCGTTGGATGGCTGGTGATGAGGTAGAACACATAGGTTCCACTGTCTGACTGTCTCAGATCAGAGATTGTCAGAGAACAGTTCTTGGTTCCTGGCTGTCCCAAGTACTGCACCCTGTTCTGGTAGGATGGATCTGGGAAGATACGAGCGCTGTGGAACACGTAACTGACACAGACACACAGACACACTTAGATATTTACCTCCGTTTAGCTCTGGTCTGGTGGGTGTTGATGAGTCTTAAACAGTACCTTGGTGTGATACACCGGCTGTCTTCGAGACACCACATCTCAGATAAAACTTTGTATTCTTGTCCTTCTTCAACTCCTCCATCCTATCAGAAGACAGTTGCTAATCAATAAATACATACTATTAGATCCTATTCTAAAACACTGCCTGGAAGCTCAGATAATCGTTTGCTTTGGTTAGCTTTGATCAGCCAGTAATAACTGCAAACATCTCCTCAGTGTGATGGCAGATTTTAGGCCTCATAGAGAAAATACTCTGGCTTACAACACACTGCAGGACACAGCGCAACACACCACAATGCCCTCTTTATTGAAGTACCTGAGCAGAGAGCCCCCTGGTTTCATTGGAGCTCTGGGGGTAGTCATAGGAACAAGGGAGGACTACTGAAGAACCAATCACAGCACAGATAGGACCTGAGGGGAGATGAATTGACCAATCACCTGCAAGAATACCTGGAGAGCAGAGAATATGCTGAGTTACTACACCTACACGATAAGCTCTTGAATCCAAATTTGACAAGATTCTACTGTTCATCTTCACAACACTTGCAGTGTGAATACAGCAGTACTTACCTCTCAGAGAGAGTGTGAACAGCAGCCAGCAGCAGCAGCTCTGTGCCATATTTACTCCCATCTTCAGCTGTAGTTGTTTTACCTTCAATTTGTTTTTTGTTTTGTCTCTTGCCTACCACTCTGCACTGCTTTAGCGATGCGTGTGCTTCTCTTTCTCCAGAGAAAAGACTTCTATGTGTCAAGCTTCCCTTTTATTAAGTTAGTCAAGAGGGAACTGAGAAGATGGCTGGGTCTGTATGACAACAAAGGGAACTTGCACAAATGTGTGGTGATTGCATTAGTTAACTGACTGACATATAAAGTGGTCTTTACAGTAAAACAATGGCAGACATCCTCCCATTTGGTTCCCATCAGGTTGTGTGTTGTTGAACTACACACCGCGAGGCTCTCGTGCCCACCTTGTCCACTTGCGAGCTGACGTCACTCGCGCCCCCTCTCGCGTGCGCAGCGCAGCTCGGAGGGGACAGAAAGACTCGAAGCGACAAAACTGCGGAGAAACTTTCACCAACTTGGTCGCAATTCGTCCAAATGTTTCTCTCTTTCCAGTTAGAAGCGGGCGCTGGTGGTTTTGGTTGATAGAAACGGTTAAAACTGTCGCAGAGAAGTTCTTTTTTTCCCCCCTCTCCCTTTGGGGGTCAGTAACCTGTGAAGAGAGCAGAAAAAGAAGGGGATTTACTGAAAACTGGGATTTATCTGTGCAGTCCTGTCTTCGAGATAGAAGTTGTTTTCTTTTTCTGTTTTTACAAAGCAGGTATTTTAAAAAAAACAGCTAAATTTTAGGAAAGGGGAAAGCCAAACCCCCACCTGCAGCAAAGGAAAGACAGGTGAGTCATTTTCTGGAAGGAGACTTGAAGAGTGAGTTGAAACCTTTTAAGCTAGCAGGTTTAATATTGGCCTCACCTAGATTCAGGCATTTGTGGAATATCTTTTTGAAGTAAAGCATTTATTCTGAGTCATTTTAATTATTTCAACATTGCAGTTAATCGTAATGTTCTTTTTAAAAATGCCCTTTGGTCTGTTGAACCAGTTTAACCATCTCTATCCCAGGACCTAAATGAGCCTAAAGGGGCTTACAGGGCCAAAGTCATGCCAATAATATCAACATTTGAATTCATAGGCCTTTTTGAATATTATAGAATAATACTTTAAAGTGATATATTGGACTTTGAGTCTAACACAGCTACCTGTAATCTCTCAGTCGCCTCATTTGACTTCATGTCCTGCTGTTTGCTGTAAGTGGTACAATTAACCCACCGTTTACTTATCTGTAGTTACAAGAGAAGCTTGTTCACATGTAATTATGATAAAGAACTTGTTAGTAGACCTGGGGGAGTATGCCTTAAGTGTACATGTGTGAGTTTGTAAGAATGAACTAAACGTAAAGTGAAAACAGTTGAACAAACTGTAGACAACATTCAAAAATGTAAGTAATAAAATTGCAACGTAAGCTGTGTTATGAAGATGAATCGTCACCAGAGCCTCAGTGATTAATCCATTAGTTGCAATCTGTTAAATTAATCGCCAACTTCTTTTGAAATCAGTTTGAGTAGTTTGTGAAAAAAGTTGAAATTTCCATTTTTTAACTTTGGATATTTATTCTTCTATAGCAATAACCTGAACGTCTTTGTGTTGTGGACAAAACTAGGCATGTGAATGTAGTGTTGTGAGCTTTAGGAAACACTGACTGACATTTTCCACCATTTTTCAGCAATTTTATGATCACACAACTAAACTATTAATTGAGAAAATACTCATCAGATTATTGACAGTGAAAATACATGTGAGTTGTTGCCCCACTAAAAAAAACGAATCATCTTCTCACGTTATATCACAGCAGTTATTCAGTCTTGGTGTTTTTCTGTTTATCTATATAACTATTAAATGTTTACTGAAAATGTGCCGAACAATATTACCTAAAGTGTGCCTTTTTTTTTTTTTCTTTTTTACCCAAGACCCTCATTATTTTATTTTCATACAAAAGGGACTGCCAAGGGCTCGGACCACCCGCCCAGAGGAGTCAAGGAAAGATTGAAGGAAGTAAAAAAGGACCTTCATCATATCCTGCTGCTTCCTAACGTGTACAGATGTTTGCTGAGAAAGTAGTGATAGATAAGAAGATGGGTAAGTGCACGTAATACATGCACATACACACTGTGTGTCAATTCTCGCAAGCCCTTTCTTCTAACACAAACACACACATACACAGATTAAATGCTGTGCTGGTCATGCTGCAGCTCACACTGCCTGTTCTCTGTGTTTGGGAACAGACATCAGACCACTAGGCAGTTAACCATTAACTGGTTTGTTCAAAGCTGCCTGGCTGTCTGATGTTCACTGGATTTATTTTTGAGGTTTGTCTTTCAGCCCAGAAAACATATACTTGGACTGGTTGTCATATTTTTCTCATTCAGTAAGATAGAAATGTGATAACTGGAATCAGTTCTTTAGAATTAAGTACACCAAATTGCAACACATTGTATTAACAACACATTATTCTGGCAGTCATAAACAACTCACTATAACCTCGACTCTGTGAACATGTCCTGTTCCAACACACCCCCATTCGCAGTGAAACCTGTTATTTAAAGGAAGCCAGAAAATCCACATCTGTCCTCCTGTTACTTGGCATGAGCTGATATGCAGCGCAGCATTAAGGTGTTGGCTAAATGTTTTGCAGATTTATGGCTCCTGATGAGTTAACTTGAAGTTCTGTGATGTTGTTATGGAGAGAAAGATAAGAATACTTGCTTTGTTTTACCGTTGCTAGAAAGCACTTGTGTTAGTACAAACTATGATACACTGATGTGGTGATGTGTACAGAAATACGTTCACTGACAAGTCACTAGTTTTTCCATTTCTGTTAAAATGTTTTATCTTAGAATACATTTCCAAATGTTTGTGGATACAGCAACTTGAACACATACATCCTTTAGTTGTGTTTAACATAAATATAGTAGATAAAAGAATCATTGCTTACCGTACACCAGGGGCGAGTTAAGTGGAAGCCCAAAGAAACCAGTAGTCTTTCGCCAAGTTGTCTTCAGCTAAAAATCGAATCCCACATCCTCTGCTGTTTTCATCAACACATCTTCTTGATCCCTGTGTGTTTTCTGTAATTTATTTTCTGGGTCTGAACATGGCCAGTGATACGTTTGCTTCTGTTAGTTTCTGTTGCATGACTGAAAGGAGTCCACCCAGATGCAGTGAATCAGGCTGTGTCTTAGCCGTGTGCGTAATTACAGGAGAAACACAGTTTAGCTTAGGAGTGGCACAAATGGTGTGGTTTCTTTTTTTTTGTTTATGTCTGAGCTAAGATTAGGTGGGACATCATCTGCTGTCAGAAACAGTCTGTGTTTACCCTAATCGAGACGTGCTTATAGACCATGCATGTGTGAACAAGTAGAGAAACTCAAAATGCACGTTCACACACACATGCACGACATGTCTGTGTGATCAGGCTAATGTTTACTGCACAGAATGATTGTGTTTATTTTTACTTTTCCACCATGACAACCACGACATGAATGAGTCATAGCTTCTGCTGTGTCTTCTGTTGTGTGTGTGTGAAGAGATCTCCTTCTGCTTCTGTGCTGTTATCGTTGCTTGAGCTCACTCCTACCACGCCTATAGGTTCACTTTGGCCTACTAACCCTTTAAACTCTTTTCCTATTTGAATTGGAGTGGATATATGTTGAATCAAGCTCAGCCCTACTTAAATAACAATCTGATTTTTCTTGTTTGAAAGCAGTTTTGGGATTTAGTTCCCATGTCCAAATGTCAGTGCTGCACAGAGGACAAAGGATAATACAGTGGATGCTGACAAGGCAGTGAGGTGTGGAGTAGGTCCGGAGACCTAATAATAATCAACCTAGCCTATAAAAACGTTAGTAAATGGACACTTTTTTCAGTCAGGTTCAAAATTCCAAGGTCGTGAATGGACTTTCATGCCTAATTTATGGCTAAAAACAACAAATACTGCGTGGTGAAGTCACGACAGCCACTGTGCTCACATGTCAACAGATCCTTTCCCACCACAACAGAACAAACTGGCTGCTAATGAAGACTGTATGCTGTGGTTGGAAACTTTGGCAAAAAGTAGTAACTATAGCTTGAGCTGGAATTGTTTTGTCAAGTGAACCTAAATGACTAACACTCGCAATAAGAAGCGCTCCAGTGGCATCTCAATAGACAAAAAGATTTCTATCTTGCTGCAATGACTTCTGAGAAATCTTCTCTGTTTAACTCTTTGGAAAATGGTTTTCCAAAAGTCTTTGCAAAAGGTTTTCCGCAAATTTCATTAACAACATAAATCAAGAACACTTATTTGTTAATATTTAACGTCTCAGATCAGCAGATATTCGACTGTTTAGAAAGAATCTTTACAGAAAAGTTATTTTCAAATGAAGAAGTACAAAGAAGGAAACTTGGCTGTTGACAAAAACAGAACTTTTTTTTCTTAACACAGAATGTGTTTTTGTATTTTTTATTTTCATGTAGGGACAGAGACGATGGTTACGCATTTAATGTGGTACACAGCTGCTTCTTTTCAAACAACAGTGAGGTGCTACACTGGCAGAGGCATAATGTCTGCTAAGTTAGGGTTATCCCAATCTCCCACAGAATGAGTATTGTGTGACTCATGGCTGAGGACAGAAATAAACCGTAGTAAAATGCACGAACGGCACATCTGTGTGGATTGGTCACACACAGTGTGTTGATTCATTTTTACCTTCCGTGCCAGCTGTTGTTTATCACAGTGGCAACAAACCATGTTAACAAACAATCCAGTCGCACAATGTAGCAGCCCTACACTTTAAATGCATCATGAAATGACATTAAAGAAGAGGTGCGTTGTACCACTTCTGTTTGTTGAAACTGCATCTTTTTGTTGAGCATAAATTAAAGCATATTTAACAGTATTAGACTCAGTATTTATGAGACGTTGTGTTAATACAGCATATGATTTGGTAAAGCTGTCAGCTGTTACAAGACTGTAGAAAGGTGACCTGTCACAGAAACATGTTGGACATGTGGTTGTTATGTATTGTAAAATTGCCCTCATAATCAACATCTGATCCAGAATATAACTTTAATCAGCATTTACAACACCCACCGTGGGTCAGTGGTTGAAAAGCAGGTTCTCTTTTATATAAGATTAATCGTAACTATCACAACATATGGACTGCGCTTGCAACTTTCTGCCAATTTTTTAGTTTTGATGCATACTCTTCAGCCCATAATACCAAAGTGATTTTAGAAGAACACTGCCTTACAATACACACATGTAGACACACACACACACACACACACACACACACACACAGGAGAAGGCAATCTCAGGTAGAACTAGACACAATAGAGCGTTTGTTCTGACCTGCTATGTGATGATGAACAGTGCCGTGTTGGGGAAGAGAGCAGGAAAGAAAGAAGAAAGGACTTGGGGAACAAGTGGGCTGGACAGTGCCAGTCTATCTGCTGAAGCTGAGGTGTGGAGGAATGGTTGTGGTATTTCCAGCAAAACACAATCTGAAAGAACAAACACAAGCCAGGAATGTCCTGCTGATAATATTTTGAATGGATGTCTGATACTATGATCACTCCTTTTTGCTTTACCAGTTTTCTGTCTGCATTTTTTTCCATCTCTTTTTGACATTGGAGTCCCCATTGTTGATCACAATTTTAAGGAACAATAATGCCACTTTTATGCTGACCGGCTGATTGGAGGGGAAGAGGGGACAGGTATGAAAAACGGAGGAGGATCAGACTTGAAACATAAAGAGAAGCATGGAGGAAGTAAAGAGATGGGTGCAGGAGGCAAGAAAGGATAGTTAGATTTCAGGGAACATGCAGGTAAAGTTGGCCAGGCGGAGGCTGTGCTGTGGAGGGAGGGAGCAGATGTGATGAGATAGTGGAGGAGAAGAAGGTTAAGGGCACTGGATTAGAAGGTCTACACAACTATCAAGTTTCTTGATAACAACATAGAAATTCGGCAACTGTGGGACCAAACACTGTCACTGGTTTTGTACAACAGTGCTTCCTTGTCATTACTTGAGTCGTTTACTTACACAGATCAGTACATAGGATTTAGAAATCTACATACTAACAACAAAAATGGAATTTTAATTGTCACTGTGCATGACTGTTCTTGTTATAAGTGGATCTTAAAATATATAGATGCTGTCACACTATCTGTTGTTGGTACTTTCCTGCATCACAGAAATCCTGCCTGTGAACATTTTCGATTTTATTGGCATAATGTCACAGTTCCATCAAAACATTTTGATAGAGTTGTTTACATTTTTTTTTGTTTTCTTTGACAAAAAATTAGAACAGTGTCGCTGTGAGAGTGAAGGGAAAATACTGGACGGAGACAGAGGCAGGAAGGAAACTGGCCTTGTAGAATGTTTTCTTGGATTTGACAGTCATATGCCTCCAGTATCTCCAGTTGTTTCCTGGTACATGGATGGACAGTATTACTGTTAAAGTCCTGATGGTCTCATGTACTGTGGTGAAAAGAAAATCCACATAAAGTCAGCACACTTAATGCAGTGGACTGAGGATTACATTTACTCTGTTAAAGACCCCGTCTGAGGTAAATTCATTTTATTTACGCTGTTAACATGTACATATGTTTTTATATGATAGAAGACATGTCATTAGCAGAGTAAGCATTTAAGGCCATGGCTGAAGATTAACGATGACGTAGATTCAGGTAGCGAGGGTTTCATGTGGAACCAACCTCAGGTGGTAGAGCGGGTCGCTCATTGATTGGAAGGTCGGCGGTTCGATTCCGCCCCGTAACCTGTGTCATGGTCGTTGTGTCCTTGGGCAAGACACTTCACCCACCTTGCCTGGTGTGAATGGATTGTTTGAGGTGGTGGTTGGAGGGGCCGTAGGTGCAGAATGGCAGCCACGCCTCTGTCAGTCTGCCCCAGGGTAGCTGTGGCTACAATCATAGCTACCACCACTGGAATGGATGTATGTGAATGAATAATTGACGGTGTATGTGCTTTGAGTTACTCTTTGAGTTAAAAAAAGCGCTATATAAATCTAATCAGTTATTATTAGTATTATTATTAAACCAATCTGTCTGCTTGCAGGGTGGTGCTTTCCATATCATTTTTCTTTTTAGAATTGGTTTTCTGTACAAACATGCATGGCTGAATTATTCCAATATGACAACTTGCCATTGTGTTGCGTAAAGTAGTTTTGCAGTGTTTGGACAGAGTCTTGGGCGAGCTTGTGAGGTAGCTGCCATGAGGAGCAACAGTGTAGAGTTACATCAAAGCCATAATAGACATGAAGGAATGACTTTCATGGAAATAAACAACTTCTATGTGAACACTGTTGAGTTTTTAGGGGTTGAATCAATGGCTAGATGGGAACTTTTGGCATTTTCTTCCGTCATCTATTACTATTGATAGAATAGAATATTGAAAAATCGAAATTATTTTTTGACTCTATTAGCAATAAAATGTTCGAAGAGTCTACTTTCAAAAACATTCTTAATACATGCCTACAAAAAAAAAACTCCAGCAGGTCTTCTTTACAGCAGACATTTGACAAATCATTGCTGAAAGCACACAGGTAACAGTATTGGTAGCTGTGCAGAGTTAAGGGGACTTTAAGGTTAGTGACTTTCTTGATGTCATCCCACTTCCACCTGTGGGTACTTGGCCACACAAGTAGCTACTTGACTAACACAGACCTTAACAGAAGACTTGTCAGCAGGAAACTTTGCAAACAATGGTTCATTTAAGCCACGGCAATGAGCAAGACTGCACAGTACAAGGAGCCTTTAACAAGTTCACCGAAATGGAATGTGGTCATTTTTAATGTCATGACGTACACCTGTGTCTTTTCTGCTGTATTTTATTTAATTTGCAGCATAGCTCCACTGTATTCAACTTGAGCAGAAATCCAATCAGATAAAACTGAAAACACAGATGTAGCTGTGCAAGGCCTTTAATAGGGCATCCTATTCAATACAATCAGAGAGGCTGCAGATTTTTATCACTGTTCTATGTACCTGCCAAGCACATAAAGCTTTTAGGTAGATTTTCTGCTTTCAGGTCTGATTTAATGTGAGTGAAGAGGTGTAACCCTAACCTTTGGCTATTGTGTGCACTGTTGCTCTAACCCTTATGATGATGATGCTGACAAGGTGTTTGTACAGAAGGCTGGTAAAAGGAAGTGAAAGGAACTGACCTGTGTCGATGATGTGGGACGTGCATGGCAAACTGACAGTTCACAGAGGACTTTTGTACTTTCATAAATATGTGCACTTTTTTCCCTAACATTCCTGTCTTCTTGATAAGTAACAGATAATCCAAAAAACACAAGAAGAATGAGAAAGGAATATGAAATATCACTGGACTTTTTTTATTTTTTTTTTTACAATAGACTTGTTAAAGCAGGAATTGGACAGGAGAAACTCACAGAACAAAGGGTCAGCCATGACAGTGCCAGTCTGCACAACAGAGGGATCTTTGAACTGGTTTATGAATGTTAAATACACCTGTGCTGTTCATCTCATTTCTTGTCTGTAATGAAAAATGTGCAGTCACTGTGAGGTTCAAGGTGATGAAGTCAGAACAGAGGACAACAGGGGCAGAAAGGGACACGCTGACAATAACATTTGCATGCAGGCGCATACACGCTCTGCAAACGGGACAGACATTGCAATATTTCCTAGTATAAGAGTTTGTTCTTTGTGGAGAAATGCTAGACTTTAGACTATTGATCTAATCAGTGTCATTTGTACTTTTCAGCTTGTGCCAGGGAATGTGCCTCCTCACATCAGGGCAATGAGCTGAAACCAGTCATTTCACCGATGTTTGCTGTAGGGCAGCCTAAGAGTTCAAAAAAGACACCACAAATTAAACACTAGCAAACTGAACTTTTGGCATATTTGTCAAAATATCTGCATGCAGCTGTGTTGTTGCTAAAATATCAGCAACCACACAGTTCACTTTAGTTCACTGTTTAGTATTTACTCATTTAATTTCATCACCTTTGTCTTCTCCTCAGTTAAATATGTTTGCTGGTATGTTATATATCGGTAAAGTGCTGCTAGCATATGTGTTCATGGGTGTGTCTGTGTATACATACTGCCAAATGAGCCTATGTAGATTTGTGTATGTATTAATGTGTGTGTGTGTGTGTGTGTCTACAGGCAGCAGGGAGATCTCTCTGACCTGTGTGTTGACGCCCTGCCGGGTGATCGGGGTCTGTATAACAGTGATGACCTTGGGAGCCATTGGAGCAGCCGTCTGGGCCGTAGGTCAGACTACATTGCTCTCACACATACACGCTGACACACATTTTTGTCAAACACTTGATGATGATGTTCTGTTGTTGCTGATATTTCAAGATGCTTGTATTCTGTACTTCTCTGTAGTTACATATTGCACAATGGAAGAAGACACAGACCTGTATGATGGTGAGTAAGAGGCAGATGGTGTCACACTAATTGATTTCTAAGTAGTCTAATACCAGATTTTTAATATGATTGGTTATTGTATGACAAAAGAATGCTGACTGAGTTTAAATTACATCACAGCAGTGTGTACTATTGGACCAGCATTGATTTAAAAGTACCCTGGCCTATATCATTCTCTGCAGTTCAGGTAAATACAGCTGACCAGCGTCTCAGAATCTTTGACTCAGCTCAGAAGAGGTGGCGTCAGGTTTGTTCTTCATCAGCCAATGAACTTTTAGCCAGCATCAGTTGCGAAGAAGTGGGATTTGTCAGGTGAGACAGTTTCTTCACCATATCTCAGTGTTTCCATGTGACGTAATATATTGCAGGACTAACATGCGTGTACTTGTTTCAGTGTGGTGAATTATTCTGTCACATCAGTGCCAGAGGCAAGTGGTGATGGCGGAGAGTTCTTTTGCGTCAGACAGGAAGAGCTCAGTTATGGAAAGAAAATCAAAGACTCACTGTTCCCATGGTAACAAACCTAGCCGTCTGTCCTTTAGCCACACTGTCCTCTCTGTTGCTCTTTGCCTTTTCTGTCACTTGCTTACTCGGTTAACGAAGAGAAAAGCCGAACACTAACGTCAGTTTGGATGTTTTCTTTTCTCTGTCAGGCTGTTACTAACTCTGTCTGTCTTTGTTGCAGTGACTGTGAGAGCAGGGAAGTTCTCACACTGTTGTGCCAAGGTAAGATCTCTGATCTACACTCTTTCTGCTTGACACACTGGCACACTTTATACACTGATACCTGACACCCACCTCTCATCTTTGTCTGCATGCTGGCTAATCATCCTCCACTGCACCTTGTTATTTGTCTCTCTTATTCTTTCTCTCTGATGTTGCTTTTCGTGTTTCCTTGACATCTTGCTATTTTCTTTTTGCTTGTCTCATAGTTATCTTTTAAACTCTTCAGTGCTCTGTCGACTCTTTCACTCATGTTTTGTCATTATTCTTGTCCATATATGTGTTTAAATGTTTCGCTTACACTTCACCTACTTTGTAAACTTATTTCTCTCTTCTTTCCTGTCAATGCCTTTCTTCTGTCTCAACTTGGAAGACTGTGGCAGGCGTAGTTTTGCAGAGGACCGTATAGTTGGTGGTGTGGATGCAAGGCAGGGCAGCTGGCCTTGGCAGGTCAGCTTGCAGTACGATGGCGTTCATCAGTGTGGAGGATCCATCATCTCTAACCGCTGGATTGTTTCTGCTGCTCACTGCTTCCCAGAGTAAGTGACAGAGCTTCATTTTACATTGAAGCAAACGGCTGCCTTATGGCTTTTAATGACAGGGAATTTAGTCTAAATTCCTAAGCCCACCTAAAGCTCCAACCAAAATGCACGCACTAGTTTTAATAGAACAATTTTTTTGATGTGGATGTACTTTAATTTTAACATGTTTGAAAACAGATTTGTTTTTAGCTTGCACCAGAGACACAGGAATTATCATGTTAACATTATCAGACTGTTCTGGTGTAAACACGTCTGCTCCATCTGTCTTGAAGATGGTGAAATTGTATGAATTTCTACAGTTGCTTGTGTATGTGAAAAACTGAAGAAGCATAGAACAAAAAACAAAAGAAAGGTGTGCAAGACATATAACAATACATTCCCTCTTTTGTACACATTCTATGCCAGGCGGTATCGCTTTGTTAACCGCTGGCGTGTGCTGCTGGGCTCCATCTACAATAAACCCGTCAATGCCAACGTGGCAGAAGTGAGGACCATCGTTTACCACAGCAGCTACCTTCCCTTTGTAGATGCTAACATTGATGACAACAGCAGGGACATTGCAGTCCTGGCCCTCACCCAGCCTCTCTCTTTCAATGGTAGGACACACAGTGGCACAAGGAAATGCATGCACTTTTGTGAAGTAAGAAACACTGTATGTCTGTAGACATTAGAATACATGGTAATATAAAAAGAGGAGGAATGGCAAAGGAATGGTGAGACAGAGAGTCAGTCATCATGGTAATCTGCCTGGTTTTGGTGTCCAGTTTCCTAATTTTCAGCAGGACAAAACCTCTTTTATCTACTGTAATTATGTCAGGATTGAACAGGATGTAACCGTCGGCTGTCTCTGATGTTTTCTGCCTGTCCTGGTATCCCACGAGAATTTACAAGTTTACTTCACACTGGCATTAAAAGTTTTGTTTTTCAAGTACCATAGATTTTGCATTTTCATAAAGCACAAATTAGCAGTGTAAAACCAAAACACCAAATGAGTTACAGGCAACTTCTTTGACAAAATAATAATATCTAAGTTAAAACATACAGTATTAACACTGATCAGGAATACATGAGTGTCAGTATAAAGGAGCAAGCACCTGGCTCAAGTTTTTGAAATGTAAATGAGCTATGATTTTTTTAACAGTGACCGTTGTAATAAGGTGATGCTGTATAGCCATACCAGTTATTAATGTTTGCAGATAGAGTGCACTGGATAATGCCATGGTTCTGTGCTATTATACAGAAGAGGAGAAAGCATTGTCTTAGAAGGGCAAGTCTGACATCTAGTGTTGGCATTTATTAATACAAAAACAACATAAAATTCAATAAAATGTGCCAAGTCTAAAGTTAAATTGCCAGTTGAGTGTGCTGTTCTTATATGCATGTGTTTTATCTTTGTTCTATACTTTTTTTTTTTTCTTTCTTTTTTACTGATGCTAATGATAAATATCAGTAAAACGAGCAGGACTCAAATGCAGAAGTCTGAGACACACATGCACCTTTAATGTTGGCACAATAAACAAGGTCCACAAACAGGCACATTTAAAGACAGGAACAAAACTCGAGACAGTCTCAACAGGAATGGCACAAAAGAGAACCTGGCAGGGAATGAGTGAAAACAGTGTAAATACTGAAGGATCTAATGAGAGAATGGTGAACAAGTGACTGAGCTTTCGTCAGGGAAGATGTAGACTAAGTGAACGTGACAACAGCTGAATTAACTGTGACAAAGTTTTCTGTCTGACTCCTGTGTCCATCAAAAGCATGTATTGGCGGTAATTTTTCAACTGTAATTTGTATTCATATGTTTGTGTGCTTGTGTGTAGAAAACATTCAGCCTATTTGTCTACCAGCATATGGTCAAAGACTGATAGATGGACAGATGGGAACAGTAACAGGTTGGGGAAACGTAGGATACTATGGTGAGTCTACATTTCTTTACAGCTTTACTGCACCTTGCAGACTGTTTTTGCTAATGACGAAAGCATTTGTTGACTTTTTGGAATAAACTTGGTGATATTTATACAGTCCAACGTCTTGCTTTCTAGTACTTTCTTTGTTTAAACATATCAACATCTATGATGATTTTTGTAACTTTAAAAAAAAAAATCGTTTTCGCTCACAGGTCATCTAGCAGATGTTCTCCAGGAAGCGAATGTCCCCATCATCAGTGACGCTGTCTGTAATGCTCCCGATTACTATGACAACCAGATCACCACCAGTATGTTCTGTGCTGGCTATGACAAAGGAGGCACTGATGCCTGTCAGGTCAGAGTGTGCCCGAGTTTATACATTTTGATGCATAGATACTGGTGTATTTATGCATTGTGTGTGTTTAATTTGTTTCATCTGATACGCGGTATGCTTACAATTTCATGTCTGTGTGTCCACTGCACACCTGCTTGTCAAAAATATGTTATTGCATTTTGTGTACTTCATTACTGGTTTACTGGTTAGACAAAATGTGAGCATGAACGGCTATGATCCTCTGTGTTTTCAGGGAGACAGCGGTGGTCCTTTTATGGCAGAGGACTGCTTCTCGAAGACCAGTCGGTATCGTCTGCTGGGAGTAGTGAGCTGGGGAACTGGCTGTGCCATGGCCAAGAAACCTGGTGTCTATACCAGAGTGTCCCGATTTCTACCCTGGATATCGACAGCCATGAGGGTAAGAGTCTTTGTATTCACTTGTAATTATGTTATGTTTTAAAGTGCTACTGCCACATTTACAAACAGATTAAATAATAATACATGCTTGAAGATTAGAGGTGAGATTTTAATCTCAAATTAATACGACATTAATAACTTGTTGGTGTTACATATAAAACTCTCATCTCTCTCCAGAACTATCACAACTCACCAGGTGTTCACAAAATGGCCCGAACATGAGATTCCTGTCCACGTATTTCTACTTTTTTCTACTCTTGGATGATAATATGGACAGGTCCTGTGAGTGATACTGTGATTCTGTAGGGTGCTACCACGAGGGATAAAAGACTGTGATCTACTCTTCAAATTTGCCTTGTCACTGAAACATTTCACAGAGGATTGACCCACTTCCTGACCCTGATACATGACCCGTATCTTTGCAGTGCACACAGACAGAGCCCTTTGATACATGAAGTTAGTGAACTTGACCAACTTTATTATTATGAAGTTATGAAGACATAATGAAGTCAGAAAGGTGAAATGTTACAATCACTATATTTAGATTTCACTTTTATCTATACTAGGATTCTTTTTCTTATCCATCTTTTTTTTTCTTTTGTATTTTTTAACTGCATACAATTGCAATGTCAGCAGAAGTTAAGTTAGAAATAACCACTGAACTGAACCAATACACAGCAATAAATTGTAATGGTCTTTCTCAAGCAATCTAGATGCAATTTCATTCTTTTCTATTTTAAGATACATCTCTCTCCATGGAGATTTTATACATGCATTTGTTCCACATGAGTCACTTTCTTCTGCAGCCAATGAGTCCAGCAAACCACATTAAGTGCAGAAGCACTAATTTGTCACTTGAAGTATTTTGGCAGAGGCAGGGGTCACCCATTCAGACAATTAGAGATCTGAGCTATTTGTAATTTATGAGTCATGCAAATTACTGAGTGAAAAAAAAAAAATCCTGGAGTTTTGTAAAATTATAACACATAGTAAGGATGTCATTTTAAAATTACACTTGTACTTGTGTGGTACATGCTGTGTCTTTTTTATGCAGTAGCCTGACATTTGTATGGAAAATAATTGTTCATGCAAGCTTTATTGTTATCAAATTCCCACATGACCTGGTGAAGATGATGCTCATGTTCCAACCAGTGTTCTGTTGTTGTCTTGTAAATATTAGTTGGTACCTTGTTTATGTAGATGTTTATTTGAGATACGTTACTGATGTCTAAAAGATCCAAGAGTGCAATAACAACTACAATCATGTTCTCATAAAATACTTACTGTACGTTACCGATTTCAGTCCACAGTCATAAACCAAAGTGTAGGATTGTTACTGAGTTGTATGACTTTGATTGCAGTGCTATCTGAATGGAAAGAGCCCGTTGTACTTCTTTATGTTTATTGTACAAAACAATAAATCAATAAATTTACACATTAAAAGAGATGGGTTTTTTTATGTTTAGGAACAAAGAATAAAAATACAGTTTAAATGTCAAGACACACTATCATTCATCTGTGCATAAATATAATGTAGATATTACAAATGAACAAGAGTTCAGTCAAATGAGAATTAAGCACAAACTGTATAATTATACAGATCCATTCAAAAAAGTCCCCACATGCACTGACCTTTTTAAATAAAATGAAAGTACACTTTATATTCATAACAAATACAACGTGTGCAAGAAAAACAACTATTGTAAAATATGTTGTTGCATTGTGTATTGCATTGAACTAAAGGGTAATTGAAAACAACTTGCTCAAAGTCAATGCATTACGACTACATGTGTTTTATATAAACTGTGACTCTTTACTGTAGAGACTGCAGTACTTAGCAAATACACAGAAAGAGAAATAAATTAGATATATACTTTTTAAAAATATAAACATTTATGGTAAAATAAAATATTTGCATTTATTATGACTCTAAACTGTGCAGCATTAACCCTTTGAAAAAACAGAATTACAAATAAAAAAATCATTATAAAATAAAATTAATGGATATATTGAAACATTTAATACTTGTAAAAGCAGGTTTGTTTCAAACTATTGCACAAAGATCTCAGTTTAAACTTCTTGAGACACTGAGGTTTGAACTTGTCATAATTATCTCGAGAAAATCGTTGAGTGACAAGATGATGAACCTCAGCGGGATGTAACCACACTGGCATAGATCACAGAGTCGCTGTTCTCTCCTGCTTTGGACCTGAGGAGGCAATTATAGAATTAGTGAGGTTTAATCAAGCTGTGTCAGTCGAACATCGTTTTTGTTCCTGAACTTTTTATTACTGCACACAATACACTGTGCAGTTATGGTTAAATTTTGTTTTAAAGCATCACGTTCTACAGATATTATGATAAGATAATCTTTATATTTTATACTTAAATATTGAAAAGTTAAATAAGTTAGCATTGCTTTTTTTGTTTGTTTGTTTTTTTCAATTTTCTTGGACTTTTTGTTTTCAGAGTGCATGCAAAGAAAATTTACTCAGATTGCAAAGATATGAATGATTTACATTTGCTCTGGTGGAACTAACTTCAAATTATTTATTGCAATATTAATTGTCAACAAAAGGCTTTTTTTTTGTCTGTGCATGTCAAAGTTATTTTGATATATTAATTTGTACCTGTTATAGTCACAAAGGAACAATAACTCTAACTAAAGGATATGAATTTCAAGAGCGGGTCAACCTACCAGGAGTCCTGTGCTGCTCTGCTGGTGTTTTTTGGCTTGATGTTCACTGTGGCGTACAGAATCTCATCTTCATAAGACGTGGAGGCCTGACAGAAAAGAAGGGAGTTAATCTATTCATAAAACTTGTCTTTACCGTCATGAACAGTCATGTTTAAGCTGAATATTTACATGAGGGTGTGAGTTCCTCTGTGGAGCAGAAGATGGAGACATGAGGATGTTAGCATAAACAGAATCAGATGGTTCGTCAGATGGATCTTCAGTCTGCTGGAGGGAACACAACAAATGCCCTTTATATTGTCTTCCATAGGCCCTTTGGGTACTTTTGTGTTTTGGCTCGACTAAGAACATGAAACATCTCATGAAGTTTAAGTTCGAGAGAAAAACTCTAAAATAAATCATGTCAGGAATGGTGTTGGATGCACTCACTTTTTCCCCTGCATTGGTCCTCTGTTTCTTCCTGCCAACGTGACAAAAACAAATGAATACAAAAAATATATTAATGTCACTCCACTCCGAACAGTGTACTTAATTGTTGCTCAATCCAGTGGCATCACGTTTTAGGGAAGTTGTTATGTAATAATGGCAAACACATCAAGCTGAGACTTCTATAAACAGCTGTTTGGGGCACATGCATTTTCACTGACCAACATTTTTAACAGTGTCAGAGGTGAGCTGTGGAAAAAGATTAGAATGTGGAGAAAAGAAGTTTTCGAATTGAACATAACTCATAATGTTATTGATCTGTTCACATACAGCAAGTACAAAATCTATGAAAATCCGTTTTTCCATAATATTCTCTCACAGCAGAGCATCAAAAATGGGAATCATCATGTTCAGTATACTGAGATACTGCTGAGTAAAAAAAAGTGAGTAAGCGGTCAAATGTAACAGCACAATGGAAATTAAGATGACACACATAGTGCATCCTCATGACAACATGAGTTCGAGACACATCATGAAAATTTTGCAACATGTCGAATATGAGATGCAGAGAGATTTCTAACATGCACATATAAGTCAGTGACCGACTGTAAAAACAATGAAATCACTCAGTCACACAACACAACTCTCCATCGTTCACTGACTCACCAGAACAGAAGCAGCACGATCATGAGTGTGACACAAAGAGCGACTCCGATTCCAACTAAGACTGCGATGGATGGGCTGGCTGAGGAGAAACACAGTCAAATAAACTCAGTAACACAATGAAGATGGCATAATTACATTTCAGGCAAAGTTAAGATGCAGCAATAGTTGATAAAGATGAGTCACTTAAACCTTTAGTTACAATGAACAGTACAGCAAAATCTAGTGGTTTGCCTTTGTTAGATTTGAAATGACATGAGCCTAAAAAATGGGAAAAGGGAAGCTAACAATCCTGATGTTACTAGATCCTATTGCAGCATTTGATACTGTGATGAATGAAATACTTCTGGTTAAGCAATTTAGTTTGGCTGTAAGGAGCAGTCTTTAGGTGGGTCAGATTTTAATTAGAAGGTAGGAACCTGAAACAGCCACTATGATGCCACAAGGATCCATTCTTGGGCCCCTCATATTCAAACTGTACTTGCTTCCATCCATCCATCCATTATCTATACACCGCTTAATCCTCACTAGGGTCACAGGGGGGCTGGAGCCTATCCCAGCTGACTTAGGGTGATGGCAGGGGACACCCTGGACAGGTCTCCAGTCTATCACAGGGCTACAATTAGAGACAGACAACCAAGCACACTCACATTCACACCTACAGATAACTTAGAATCACCAATTAACCTCAACATGTTTTTGGACTTGTGGGAAGAAGCTAGAGAACTTGGAGAGAACCCACGCTGCACGTGGAGAACATGCAAACTCCACGCAGAAAGATCCCGGGTGTGCTCAACGGGACGCGAACCGGCAACCGTCTTGCTGCGAGACAACGATGCTAACCACTGCGCCACCTTGCAGCCCTGTACTTGCTTCCCCTTCATCAAATTCTCCAAAACTATCTGGTGTTGCTCTTCATACCTTTGCAGACGACACTGCAATCTATCTGGCGCTCTCACAAACCTAACTATAGTCATTTAGACTTCCTATTTCTGTGTCTTGAGAAATTTAACAGCTGCATCTAACAAAGTTTCTGATCCTACATAACCACAAGACTGAAAGTATTCTTTGTAGCGATAAAGAAGGAAGTGGGAACAAACAAGACTTCTGGTGTAATACTGATAAAGATTCAGTCTTGAGTGGCCACATTAAAGCTGCAACTAAGTCATCATTAACCAGAAACTTTAGGTCCAAGCAAGACTTAGAAAAGCTCATTCATGCTTCTATTTCTCATAGGGTGGACTACTGTAATGCACTTCTTACTGGCTTCAGATATTTGCATTCAAAATGCTGCTGCTACAATACTGAGAAACAATGAAAAGGGAGAACAGTCCAGCCGATAGATTGCTGCACTGACTTCCAGTTAAATGTAGAACTGAATTGAAGGCTCTGTTTAATTTCTACATGTCTCTGAATGGTTTCAGCTAAGTTTACTGAGCACAAGATCTGCAGGGACTGGTCAGGAGTGGTGCCCAGAGTTCAAACCAAACATGGTGAAATGGCTTTTGGCCATAATGCTGCCCACTGCTGGAATCAGCTCCATTTGGAACTCAGATACGCCCCAACTGTATTCATTTTTAAAACAAAACTTTAACTGGTCTGCACTTATATAGCGCTTTTCTAACTTAGTGGGACTAAAAGCACTTTACAGAGTTTCTCATTCACCCATTCACACACACACACACACACACACACATACATGTACACGCACACACACACACACGTTCACACAACAATGGCAGAGCGAACCACCAACCTTGTGATTACTGGACAACCCACTCTGCAAACTGAGCCACAGCCGCTTACAAATTAAATTTAGGACTGTTTCTTTTTCCTCTGCTTTTCAATAATGTTCTATTTTGGGATATTTTATAAATTCTGGTATAAATTTTTCGGTACTTTTGATTGTTTCATACTTTATAAATCGTTTATGTGTATGTATAAATAGTAAAATGTCACACACTTTGCAGCTTTTCCGCCATGACCAGCAGAACCTCAGTCGAGTTGTTTTCCCCCACGCTGTTCCTGGCCAGGCACAGGTAGAGTCCATTGTGAGACGCCTCCATCGAGGGCAGAAATAGCATCTGTCCTGAGCCCATCTGGAGCATGGAGCCTGATACTGCCGTCTTGTACCAGGCGTAGCTGTCTGCTGGAGGGTTAGCATCACTGCTGCAGGTCAAATTCACACTGCTGCCCTCCAAGACTTGCTGTGGAGCCACTGACACTGAAACGTTCATTGGGGGGTCTGGAAAAAGTCCAAACATTGTATGCGTTAACAGAATGACGTCATCAAAATGAAAAATGGTGATCAACTCGCAATGGTTCACAACCTGCTGACCTTTGTGGGAAAAAATTAGAGTTTAAATACACGTCTTGCCTTAACTTTATTCTCTTATTTCTTTTGTCCTTATTAAATGATGGATACATCCAGCTCTTCAGGCTCTAAAAATCCTTAAATACAACAATCAAATGACAACTAATGCAACAAAATTTGACGATAAGTTGTAGTTGCTTCATTTAAAGGTGTCTATGGGCACTCATTAGAGTCAAATACTTTATAATGCACTTGTTAAAACATGTCATAGGAGGGATTTTCTCCAATGATCTCAGACTTGATGTGCAGGATTTCATGAAAGATATGTCTTTTCCATAATCTGAGCTATCACTTTATGAGGCTAATCACATGACCGTACATACATATTCTCACTTGAAGCACAAAACAGATTAATCAGTTTGAACATTTTATCAGCACTTCCTCTCCCCCTGAGTCTTACACCATGTGTTCGATCAAACTTTTGAATGCGTCCTGATGACAGACAGATGGACGGCATAATTATAAATTTGAGGAAGTTATGATGTTGGGCAATGTAAAATTTCCCACTCTCAGTTACCACTTGATTGTACTTTTCCCACTGTCAAGGGGGGAACTTTCGACAACTTTCGACAACACAGTTTCAAATCAAAACAGATATGTGAAACTAGAATATTCAGCCTCCTTACACTGGACATCAAGGTGAACCTCAGCGGAGTTGAACAAGGCGTTGCCCCTCCAGGTGATGTTATTCCAGGCCTGGCAGTAGTACCGTCCACTGTGGCCGGGCTGCACGTCAGAGATGCTGTGTTTCTGCCCTGAGCTGATAAACTGTCCGTCTTTATACAGGCTGTATCCTCTTTCTGTCACAGGAGGGTTGGCGTCGCTGCTGCACCTGAAAGTCACCGTGTCTCCTTTGACGACGTCTCCTGGTGAACTCACTGTCAGAGTCACTTTCTTGGGAGCGTCTGTTTAAGATGATGAACAAATAGTGAGTTAGAAGCAGAAAGATATTTGTAGAATTTCTACTTCCTTTTATTGGCAGATAAGTTCTTAAGCGGACTCATTTTAAAACGTCAATTCATGATGTACACTTATCACTTCTGTATATTCGTGCACCCAGCAGTTTACAGAACAGCTAAAGAATGGCTTCTGTTGCGGTCTCGACATTTTAGAAAGACACGTTTCTCACTGTGTATCCATTTGTGCAGAATTGTATATGTGTATATTATATTGTATTGTCTAGACTTATTAACTTCTCAACATTTTCTTAAACCTGAGACCACAAGTTCTTTACATACCTAAATAAAACAAATGGTCCCAGCCACTGTTTTAAGTGAACTAATCATGTAAATTCAGGTCCAGTTAGTCTGAAGTAGTTTGATTGGATTTTTTCTTCTTTTTTCCCCCCCATCATCTAATTGGAGTAAACCTTGGGGGAGAAAATGATTTTGAAATGAGCTCTGATAACATAATGCAGTTTGGATTTTGGTCTGAATCAAACCTTCAGTATGTATTTTTAAACCTTTTTTTTTTTTTTTTTTTTTTAAAGGATTGCAATACATTTGATTGGAAACAATCTGGATTACCTTACTACATTCCCAGAAGGATTCAGTGTGGATTTCAGAAACAAGATGATGTAAAACTTGGGTAAATAATACAGTGTTAGCTTTTGAAGTACAATAATCTAGTTTTTGCATGACTTGTTTTGCCACTACAGTGACAAAGTACAAAATAAAGAAAAACTCATTTAAATATTTTTTTCTCCCATAAAAATCCTTCAAGCAGATGTCAATATCAAACAAATGATATGTTTAACTGAACCTGTCTCTTATTGCTGTATTTTAATTACTCACTTTGTCACTGTACCTTCTAAATGTAGAGCCTCAATAAAATCAAGAACACTGAGATCAGTGTTTTTATTTGATGAATTATTAGACATTAAGGCTTTTTATGACTTCAAATATATACTCAAAAATATGCAATGTTTTTCTGACTAGCGTATACATTGCAGTTTTTGTTGTGAGTCAGATTAGGGCCTGACCACTTAAATGAAATTAAAAATGGACAGAAACGCTGGTATTAGTTTATTGTTTTCTGTTTTTTCATAAATACTAAATGTGACCCCATGCTGGCTGTTGTTCTTTACAAGCATAAGCAACATTGTGATCTGCAGTCCCATTCAGAGCTCTGATAATCTGGATTCAGTAATTTCACAAAGTTTGTATCTTGATCATGCTGCTCCAATCCAACGTTGCTTTATAAAAACGTCACAAAAGTAAGACTGATTATCTGATCCTAGCTGTAGTGGATAATTACTGTCTGGGTAATTAATTACTGTGTGGATAGTGAAACACGGGGTTTTCAAATTTGGATCATTCTGATAGTTCTGACTGACTTCACTACATAAGTCAACTGTATTTGTACATAAACATGCAGAGTTGCAAGTTTTTACAGAAGACATTTTGATGTATGAGTGGCAAAAATGTAGGACTGTGTTTTATAAAGGTCACTATATTTGAATCTTGCTGACTCACTGCCACGCTGTAATTTCTTACCGTAACACTCGGCTATGAAACACGCCTATAAGCTGAAACATTTAGCGTTAATCACATACTCACACTGAACATTCAGAGCCACAGAGGCAGATCTGGCCGTCTCTTGTCCTTGGACAGCGCAGTAGTATCTCCCAGCGTCCTCTATCCTCGCCTGAAACACTGAACCTGATACAGGTTGTCCATCTTTGAACCAGACGATGGTAGTGGGGTTTGGACAGCCTGACACACAGGTCAGTCTGACATCGTCTCCCTCTGTCACGGTGCTCGGCTGCACAACAGTGGTCAGCTCTGTTGCAGAAGCACAAACACATTAAACCTCTTCTGAAATTACTTAAACCAGAAAGTAATTCTTTGTTATTGTGTCATTACCTTTTACGGACAAATAGGAATGTGTTTGGCTTCTCCATCTGTTGAGTGTTGTAACAAAACTAAAGTAGTAGGATCCTGTATCAGCGATCTGTACATCATTGATCTTCAGATCACAGTCACCCCTCTTGTTGCCCAAATACTTAAAGTGTCCGGACGGTGCAGAAAACTGAGAGAGAGCAAAAAGTCTCGGACTGCCCAAATGAAGCTTGACTTTAGACCAGCTCGTTGACGTGACAATGTGACCAAAGGGGTAGTCGTAGCTGCACTGTATAACTACTGATGTCCCTTTTAAGGCACACTGGCTTTCCAAAGTCACCCTCCAGTCTCCACTCCAGACACCTTTGGACAAAAATAAATAAGACAAACTCTCTTAAATTTAGTTGTACTGTTGCTTTTCTCCTCAAATTATTTGAAGTAACGTTTGTATGATATTCTTACATTAAACTACATAGAATGTATTAACTGTCAAAGTTGTAGTCACTCCATTTCAAATGTGTTAAATTAAAAAATCCTTACCTGGCAGGATTACCAGAATAATCACAACCCTCAAACTGTCCATTGTTTAAAATGCACCTGCAACATCATGACACAGGTTAGTAATGATATGAAGACAGTGTCAAACAAAAGAAGAATTGTCATTGAATGAAATCTAAAAGTACTCACCACTTAAAACAAACTCACTTGTTACTTTGTTCATTCTTTGAGGTGAAGTTTTGTGTTGTGAAAAGCAGAAGTAGAAGGGTGTCCCCTCCCTCCTTCCTCTCATCACAGCGTCACACATTCGTATTACCGATTACGAAATATCAGAAAGCCTCCTATTTTAAACTTGGATATGAATGTACACACAAACCTGGACACTGAAAGTATTTAACAAGCAAGAGCAGGACAGTGGACAAAAGGGTCAGAATAAACATCAGGGAGATGCAACAGGCCACATAGTACACGAGTATATACAGTTGTCCTCAAATGTATTCATACCCTTCATTAAAGAAAAGGCAAAATTCACAATAGTCACTCAAATAACTAGAAACTGAAAAAAGTAATAATAAATAACATTTTTCAAAATTCTTATTTAGTGAAATATGACATTGCTTTTGAATTGTGGTTGAAATTAATAATTTAAAAAAACAAACAAAACGGTGCCGTACAAATTAGAGCACTTTGCTGATGAGCAGTGGACAAAATCAAAATACCTGTCAACAGGTGCAGAAGTCTGACTGAGAGTTACAGAAAGCACTTGATTGCAGTGATTGGCTCAAAGGGTTGTTCAACAAAATATTAGTTTACGGGTCTCATCATGCTTGTTTGCTTGTTTTTTTGTTTTTTTGCAATATTTCTGTTGAACAGCAATTCAAAAGCAATGTCATGATTTTCATTAGATTTGTATTTATTACTACTTTTGTCGATTTCAACCTATTTCAGTGACAGTTTTTTTTTCCTTCTTTAATGGGAGGGTATGAATACATTTGAGGACGACTGTATGCTCAGGATCCAGCAGCATACAGAAGCTGAGGGTGGAGCCGCACTGGTAAGTTTGCAGATAATCTGCTCTCAGATTATAACTTCCTGCAAAATCTCCCAGGATTTATGTGCCTAAATGTTTCAGATTTGTCACCATTGAACATTTTGAGCTGGTATGTACCACAGCTAATCAAATACACTGCTAACAGGAGCTAAAGAGAACAGAGAACAGAAGGATACGAGAGGCACCAAAGAGAAACTGCTCACACTGAATCCCAGCTGGAATGACAGTGTGGTTGAATGTAGATTGTGTTGATTGCTGCAGTTTAAAGGTGGAGGGGAACTGGGAGGTGGTCCAATCAGGTATGGCAGGCAGAGAGAACAGGGGCTGGAGTGCAGGTCTGGAGCTCCAGGCTTATCAACTACAGTGACAGGCAGCTGGGGCTGGAGCAGGCTCTCTAGCCAGCTACAACAGAGTTCATACGAGTCCTCTCCCAGCGCACAGGCCACAAGGGGCCACAAGACGGCACATGGACACCAGAGGCCCTAACACCCTGGAGCAACATTTTGATTACCTGTGCTACATGTACTGCATTTCTTATGTTATGTTTTTTGGTTTTTTCTGAGAGATATCTGGCACAAGAATTTTCTTTGGGATTATCTTGGTAAGACACTTCAAAAATGTCAGTGACTACCTTCTGCAGATCATTTTAGAATTTCAGGGTGTTCGACTGTAATCTCTCTGTTCTGTTTAGTTTTCAGGCAAGACCCTGGAACAGACAAGAGACCTCTGTCTGAAAATCTCAATGTGAGTACTGGTGCATATCGTACTGTTAGAGATGCAATGAAGGGCCTTCAAAGTCATCAAAACAGAGACGGGTACCAGTGTTAGGAAGTGATGTGATGATGCCTCTTGGTTCTGATGGAAACTTCTGTATAGCCTGGAGTTGATCAGTAGGTTTTTCATTCAGGCAAGTTAAAAAGCTTCTGCGACAATCCAGGTGGGATGAGATAGCATAGATTGTATTTTGAAATATTTCTAAGATGTCAAATGCATTATTAATTCTAAGCTTTAAGCTGTGCTGCTTAAAATGTCTTTGTAACAGGCTTGACATTTAATTGAAGGGTACCAGTTGATGATAGAATCTGTTTTGCCATGTAGCAAATAACAGGAGTCTGTTTTATCAGACATGTTCATGTCTACTGACAATATGTGTATGCTTTTTATTCAGCATGGTAAAAAAAAAAGAAAAAAAGTTAGTTTCCTTTACAGTTAGTAGTAGTAGTTAGTTTGCTTTGCATATTTTTTTTTTAATTTTTTCCAGCGTTTCCGGACCAGCTGGTTGTCAGATGTCAGTCTCTGTCCACTGGGTGGAGGTACTGGACCGTGCAGCAGAAACTGGAATGAAAATATAGCTATGCCTGATTTTCACACACTATTTTTAAACAGATGGTGCGATGTGATGAGACTTGCCACTTTTATGAATTAGTTTTTTTTCCTTTTAACGTATTATGCTATGATGACCTCTCAGTGCTTTACTGTCTCCGATGTTTATGTGCGTAGTTTGCACGTTGTACAGCAGTTTGGTCTTGGAAGCTTTAAAATGTGCACAAACTTGACTTGAGTCTCGAATCTCCAACAACATTGCATATAATGGACAAATGGTTGAAGCCCCAGCCAGGTTTGTTGTAGCTTTTTAAACTCCTAGCTCTAGTTAACTAGTTAATTGTACTTGGTGTGGATGAGCAAGAAGAGCCAGTAAAGTGTTCAAAGTGGCCCTCGACTGTTTCTCACTCTCCTCTGCAATATTCACAAATTAAAGATTGTCACATCTTGAGACAGCATGACTAAGTATGTTTTGTTTATTGTTGTCGACTCATAACTTTAGGTGCGTTAACCCACTAAGTGTTGCAACTGGACTTCTCCATCAAGAAAGTACATCTTGCAATCAGCACACATTAGTGACAGTTATTGCAGCAAACATTTATCAAATTTAGTAACTGAACATGAAATAGAAAAATAATGTTTTCCAGACTGAGTGTTAGCAAATATAAAAGAAAAAAAAAAGTTGTGTAAAAGTGTGGTTGTGTTGCTTTTAAGGTATAAGCAGCAGAGCGGCAACTCTAATGCCGGTTAGAATCATTACAAAACTGCTGTTTCATTTCCCCACATTTATAAGATCATGTCTGTGGTGTGAGGTGCTGTGATCAAAAAATGGACAAATGAACACACCGTCAGTGGAGCAACACCTTCTGAGCTGAGCAGCGTCATCGTGGAAATTCGCAAATGTGAAGTAAAAATAGTGCAATTCAAAGTTCATAATCACAAGAGATAAAAAAGTTCATATTTTACTAAATAGATAAATCCGTATATTAGATAGATTCTTATCGGACTTACTTCTTTGTAATATATGTTCATTTATTCTAAACTCTACTCCCACTAATATTTTACAAGCAGTTGTAAATTAGAAAACAAAGCAAGACAAAGTGACAAAACAGCAGAAGTCATTTGTTTGGTTTTATTTTTCAGTGTAACAAACTACAAGATGTCATTATTTCTTGCTTGGATGGTTTCATGAAAGCAAGCTGAACTGAATAAACATTACAGCAGCAGTCAGAACAGTCCCATTAGGTATTTATTGATACGATTGTTTAATGCAGAGTGGAAATTTATATGACTCAAATACTGTTTATCTGTTACACATGTCAAATAATTTTCTACAGGTTTTCTCCACTAATATGTCTAATATCACACTGTGGCGTTTTCTTGGATATGTTTTCATACAAAGGATTTTCAGCTGTCAGATGATGCAAAGGATACTGTAGCAACCATCAATACTGTGCCATCTGCATATACCTGGTTGAAAAAGTTAGTGTCAACTTCAACAAAAAAGCAACACCAGATATACTGTAACTGTGCTGTGGATAGGAGTGCAAGCAAAGTGGCTTTCAGTGGTGAGATGCAAAGAAAAAAAAGGGGAAGACATGCAACACAGTTCAGGAGCTGGACTCCCAGACAGGACGGCATGCTGCCTTCATGGAGAATCCAGGATCCAACTTCAGGTCAAAACCAGAGCAGTGAACAGTGTCAAAGTTCACAGGGAAAAGCTTCCAGTCGCCGAGGAAGACGGAAGCAAAGGCATCGGCTCATATGAGAATGACTGATGTGTTGTTCAACTGAGGAAGAAAGTGGGAGAAGACAGTAGAACAGATTACAAGAACATCATCTGATTAGAATTACTCAGTTATCACTATATTCTTCTGTTTTGCTGGCATGTTAGGTGCATGTTTTTGTTGTTGCACCAGTGAAACTCTTCATATTTAGTGCATGCATTTAGTGTGTATGACGGTAAAATGGTGGCTGAGGTTCTCCAATTAGAAGGATGAAAAGGAGCCAGAGGGCAAAGTTGGCCAGCAAGTGGCTTCCATCTAATAGTATCTGTTCCAACACCTCCAACGATGAGGAGGTGAGGACAATACAAACTTGACATGAACACCAACAGAGACGTTGCAATGGCTTTTTAAAAATTCCTTTCTGTATGTGTTTTGTTAAACATGAGGTTTATTGTGATGTGGGTTAAATCATCATCAGTTTCTGTGTTCAGTGTTCATTTTATTTCATAAATAATGTATATATTATAATATATAATATTTGGTAAGGAAATGTAGGCCTCATATGTTGGTAAATTTCAGCATGAAGACAACATAAAAGCAACGTGTAACTTTGCACATATAATGATAATGTATAAACCCTTATGCAGACCAACTGTTATGATCCTGTAAATGAGGTCACATCACCAATTTGTCAAAATAGCAAAAAATTTAGAACCTTGGCTGAACACACTTGCCACTCATCACATTTTACTGATGTTAAAGGCCTTAAAAGTTGGTAATATATATATATATACACACACACATTTGGAGGAAATTTCTGGAGCCCTAATACCACTTTGTGTGACAATTTTGAACTTTCTTTCATTACAAGGACCAATATTCAAAATTTTGGCTTCAACTTGAGCCATTTGATCATAAATCTATTGTGAACAATTTGTCTGTGACCTCGCTAAACGTCTGTGGGCGTTATATTTCCGGAGATGTTGAATCTTTAAAATGGTTTCACGGATAAGACATTTTTGGGCAGCCAAAACACAAAAGTTTCCAGGTTTGAAAACATAGGACTCTTTTAAAAAATTGTGTCCCAAAGTACAAACAGTTCAAACAAAATCTGAGACAGCGCAGCAGCATATTTGCTTATTTCTGTGTGACTGAACAAGGACTGAGCCAGTACAACATTTTATATCCTTGTGTGGAACATTTTCTTATTTATGGGGTACAGTTGTGGGGGACTCTGTGTGGGCGACTGCTGTACTGACATACTTCCATGTAATATAAAACTGTGTGCAGATAATTTCAAGTTCAGAAACAAATAACCAACATGGACAAAACTGTGCTTCTTGGGTTTTCACATGTTGTAAAGTGTCCTACCTGAAGGCCTGTTTCTTCACCGTCAGTGGCGAGGCTGGGGCAGTAGACTGTAAACAACTTTGGAGGAGTCCTTTGGTTTTTTATCACCACCCAGTGGCAGGTTGTGAACCTGCACCTGGTCCGTACTGGACCAAAGACAGACAGGAAACACATGAGTTCATCTCAAATGATGAAATGTTGCAGAAAGAAAAAGAAGAAGAGTGAAATTGGAAGAAAGATGATGCTGGGTACCTGGACAACCTGGAGTAATGGACGGTGAAGTATTTGGAAGCGGGGCTGCGACTTTCAACTTCTTGAATTGGTGGAGCATCCATCAGAGGAACGATGGAGGGATGAGAACTGTCACTCAAGTCCTCCGGCTCCTCCTGCACACAAACACACACACATATCAAAAATTCATATTGCCATTCCTTTTAATAAGCCTCAAATTACATGCTGAGTTTCTCACCGGTATATCGGACATCTTGCCCTTTCTCACTGGGAAGGTCTGTTGTTGGGCTGACTCATAGAACATGGTGTCAGCTGTCACTGATGGACGCTGGGGGTCACACGCGCATACACGCACACACACACACACACACACACACACACACACACAAAGCAGTGGATTACAGTCACACATCATGGAAAACTTTGCATCTTCATTTTAATAAACAACAATTTCCCTGAGGTTTCCACCAAAGGGATCAATAAAGTTCTATTCTATTCTATTCTATTCTATTTTATTCTATTCTATTCTATTCTAATATGTCAAGTATTTGATCAGGAATTAAACGCCTGTTTTTAAATTGTCACCTACAGTGAAATCAGACGATGCAGAGTAATTCTAAGACTAATCACAGATAATTACACACAGATTTGCGTACCTTGCTCGCTACTTCCACTGAGTCTATGTCAACTCTGTGCATGTTCTTACTGTAAAGACAAACACACAGGAGCCGTTAGGTTAGAACACATAACCAGGTGAGAACCCTTAAAAGTAATGCAAAGAAAAAAATCTCCCTATATATATAAATGAGTGATTGAAAAGTCCACAACATACTAAACAAACAGATGCTTAAAAATATATAAAAAATACAACAAGCAAATTCCTCTTAAAAACAGAACTAAACATTGCGACATAAAATGCTTATTTTTATGGAAATATATACATATATATAAACACATTGTGTTAGTGATGCTGATGATAACTTTGAATTATTCCAACCGGTTTGTTTTACATTTACTGACAATACTATGTCCAGAATTATTCATAACTCCTGAAATTGTCAGATTTTTTTGAGCATGTGCTGCTTCTATACCATTCCCAAATGGCGCCGTTAATTTCTATCAAGTTCGACAGCTTTCTAAGACATAAACAGCTGGTGCTGGAGTTTTCTTGTCAGTTACTAACTGATTGCAAGTCATGGGTAGAAAGAGTTCAGTAAGCTTATTGTGATCAAACAGTTTCCATGGTGGATCAATAGTTGATCTAAATCTAAGTCTAAGTTAGGATCCATCACTTAGACAGAGTTGTGCATTGTGGCTGCTTACAAGACTGGGAAATGTTTCAAAGCCGTAACTAAATGTTGTCAAATGCCAGTGGAGAATCAAAAACAAGAGTTCCACACAGTGTCAAAACTTTTGATAAGAAACTAAAAGTGAGGCCTACACTGGAAGAATGGTAGATTCCAGTGATCACAACTGTCAACAACATCCTGATAGGTTTGACCAATTCTGGTACCAACATCTCAAGACAGACATTCTTGCAGATGCTGCACAGGGCTGCTGTCCATGGAAACCAGCCAAGTAGGACTCTATGACAGACATGCAAAGCCCCCCTCAGATTCTAAACATTTAACGCCAAGTACACCATCCCCACGGGAAAGCATGGTGGGAGAAATGCAAAACTTTGTTTTTTAGCCAGAGGGTTGACAAGGCAACCATGTCAGTAAGTAAAACGGCATCATGAGAACAGAGAACTGCATTAATATTCTGAAAGAAAACATCAGGCAGTCTGCAGCAAAACCTCGCCTTGGGCAGCACTGGACCTTCCAACAAGACAATGATTCAAATCACATAGCCAGAATAGTTGTGAAATGGCAAATGCAAAACAACATCAACATTTTGGAGCAGCCAAGACAGAGTCCAAATCTGAATACCATCAAGAATCTGTGGAGAGAACTGAAGACCAGAGTGACGACAGCAAAGCTTTCAAACTTCAAATGCTTGGAGGTCTTCACAAAAGAGGAGTTGAACAAAATCCTAGGGAAGACTGGCAAAAAGCTTGTTGGCAGTTATAAGAACTGATTGCTATAGTGGTAAAATAAATAAATAAATAAATAAATAGATAAAAAAGATTTTCGTCACTGAATACTGAGAGAGGGGATGAATATTTTTGGACATGGCAAAAAAATCTACATTTCAAAAAACAACCTAAAAAATAGTTTTAAAAAAAATTCTAGTTAACATCCACTATGTCTTGCCATCTTTTATATTATTTTCAGGCTGAAAAATAGAATGAACATGGATATGACTAGTTCTGGGCTCTATAGTGATGAGTAAGGAGTGTATTTCCCTTCACCTGATCATTATGGCCACTGTGAGAGTGATGAGTCCAGCAGACACACCCACTGCTGAGGCCAAGGCGATGACCTTAAGACGACCTGCCGTTGAAAGGAACACAAGAGTTATCAGAGAGACTAAACAATGGACGCATATGACTAAACATGAGATGAATTAAAACAGAAGTGCAGCAAACTAAAATAGAACAGTGGACATAAAAATAGAAACAGAAAATGATTAAAGAGGGAAAGTGCTGCGCATCAGCGAGCAGCCGTCTAGACTTGGGCCTTGTGTTTCCAGTTCTGATTTCCAAACCTAACTCTACTTCTTCAGCTGTCTAGACTCAAATAGCAGTTTTCCACAACACCTCGTCACCTCCTCCTCTCCTCTCATAGTGAGAGAGCTTTACATGACTCACCGTGACTCATAGAAAAACACTCAGAAATCATGAGACCGTACAGAGTGAAGACCAGAGCCTGGAACCGCTGCGATGGTGACAGGGAGGTTTCATCACTCATCGTTTCAAGCATCATTTGTGGTTAAAATTGCAGATAAATACACAAAGCCAGTTTTAAAAAAATGTCTCAGCTAATCAGAGACGTGAATATAAATATATAAGGCAGGTGGGTTTCAGTGAGGTCATCAGGGACAGCTCGTCTCTTAGATCGCCAGAGAAAAGTGATGAACACTGAAGCCCAGGAAGAGATGAACAAACTATTTTTTATATCTGTTTCTGTTTGACTAAACGGTTTACTGCTATACCGCACAACCACAACACTAGACTTGCCAGTGTTTTGTTAAAATTGTATTCTACCTGAGTTCATGCACATTTTGTATTAATGAAAGCTTTGTACTTGAAAAAAATTTTTTATTTAATGTAATTTGATCAATATTTTCAATCAATCAATCAATCAATCAATCATACTTTATTAATCCCCTCAGGGAAATTACCTTCACAGTTACATCTGTCCAAACTGGGGGAGACAGGAACTGTCGGGACTGCCGGCTCTAAGCCAGCGCCCTTTTCATCATTAATGTTCCTCCTTTAATGTGTTATGCATTATATGTTAGGAATTGGCGCCTAGAAGATTATCTGATTGCTAAGACATTCAGCTAACAGGGATCCTTTAAATGAGCAAATCAAAATTATTAACAGTCGTTCTGAAGATCACATGGTTGCACATTTTCATAATCATGCACTATTTGTCAAGACATTTCAGACTGAAAAATGTCAACCACTTGGTGGTGCAACAACAAAAGTCTGAAGTCAGAAGAACACAAATGTCTACAAAATATCATGACAATCAACCAGATATTTGTTGAGATCATTTCTTTCTGGACTAAAGCAACCCCTAAAGTCATCTCAGACTCCAATGGACAGCTGTGGAACCATTCTACCAAAAGCATCCAGTAGACAAATAGTAAGCACAAAGTTGGCCATACAGGAATAAGCCTGTACCTCTGACTCTCACGGTGAGAACTGGAGAGCTGTGGGCTCCGATTCGATTCCTGGCCTCACAGTAGTACTGACCACTTTCCCCTGGACTGACCTCTGAGAAGGAGAAGACAGGACCGGACTTGGTTCCCCACGCTACATGAGGGAGCAGAGCAAAGGAGAAGATGAACTGACTGTTACAGATACTACAGGGCAAGTAGATGAACAGATCAGGAGCACAACGATGCTTAACTGACAGAGCATTGACCACTGGTGATTTTTTTACGTTAACCTTGAGTGCAACTACATTTTTACGATACTAACATTGTATAGAGCCCCCGTCCAGAGCTAAACGGTGCCATGTAAAATTGTCCACTGCTGGGTTGGCCTGACTGCTGCAGGTCAGGGTCAAAGGTCGGCCAGCATCCACCACACTGGAGGGACGAGCCAGAACTGATGTGTTCTTGGGGGGATCTGGAAAGAAAAAAGGGGGAGTAGCAAATTATCTTTATAACAAAGACCCAGCAACACAGAATGCTGACCCCATGTTTATAACTCTTTAACATAATCTGTGAGAGGAGGTCTGTTGGAGAGTTTGGATGCTTCAACATCAAGACATCACTGACAACTTAAAAGCATTGCTATTAACAACAAACTTAGCAAAAAGATGAACATGTCCCACACACTCCACTACTTACACAGCACAGTGAGAGCAGCAACAGGGGAGGTCAGGTATCCCAACCGGTTCGATGCTCTGCAGTAGTACTGACCAGCGTGGTGAGCTCGAACAGACGAGAAGGTCAGGTTCTGAGAAGTACCTTTTGCAATCACCTGGTCACCGAGGATACGATACCAAGCGTACCTGCAGGGGAGATGGTGGAGATGATGATGATGATGATGACGATGATGATGGAAATGCTTCATGGAACTGGGCAACAACTAAGTTAGATTTTCTTTTTTTAATAATTAGACTCATAGCATTGGATTTTGTTTAGGGGAAGAAATATGAGCACTTTTAATAATAATAAATAAATAATTTTTTTAAAAAAACCTTTAACGATAGTCATGGTCTGAATTGAGGTGATTTTAACATGATGGCAAATGCAAATGACAAAACAATCGTGATAATGATGACAAAAACAGCAAAAATTCTCATTAATATCAGAAATACATATGCAAGAATAAAACACAGTTCAGCCCCGGCTGCATGTATTTCATTTAAACGGTCCCTGTTGATGCCTCTCACCTGTTGGCAGGCGGCTGGGCGTGGTTGACGCAGCTCAGGTTTACATATGAGCCTTCTCTGATGTCTCCTGGAGGACTCACCAGCACACGGGTGTTCTTTGGAGAATCTAAACAGGCAGATAGAGAGAGAAATAGGAGCATCATGACAGACTGTTTTTATTTATTAGTTAGATTTTAACCTGTGTCACATGAGACTCCAAAATGTAAATCCACCTGTAAACTCAGCTATTTATCTAGCCAAAAAGAAGAAATATTACACAAGCATAGAACATGCTGCTATGGTATGGAGGAGAATAAACAGGTACGTAGAACCATTGTCAAAAAAAGGAGTAAATACACAATTTATTACAAACAATATAAAATCCTCTTTGCTCTTTGTACCATGGAAAGATCGTACATCAGGCCCTTAAATGAAACTAACTTTATTCTAGATTTTTAGGAAACAATTATTTTATAATCACTTCATTTTTTGGAGTGTTCTTCAAATCACCTTTCAGATGATTTGCAAACTTTCTCAAAATGTGTGAAATAAAGTTTGTGTTGCAGATTAATCCACTGAGCTCTGCTGCATGATTGTTAGTGTTTTATATATATATATATATAACTAAATGTATGAAACAAATGATTAAACATTGTCTAAATGAAGCTTAGCATTGCATATTCAGTTGGATTCAGACTTGTCTGTGACGGATTTACACAGCAGGACCCACAGTAATGTAAGTGTAGGATTTTTGCAATAAAAAGATGAATTCTGATCTGCTTGATTAAACATGTAGGATTAGGTCTCGACTGACTCTGATAAGAACATGCAGAAAACTTACAAGTGACATTGAGTAGAAGTGGTTTGGAGCGATCTGTTCCCAGAGAGTTACGCGCTACACAGAAATACTCTCCTCTGTCTGTGTATTTGAGGTGTGACAGGCGGAGCTGAGGCCTGAAGCTGTCTGGGATGCTGCCACTCTCCATGTCTGGAAAGCAAGTACACAAAAGAAGATCAGCGCTCATATAAACTTAAATTACCAGCATAATGCTAAAACACACATGGAAAAGATTTAGGTACTGCTCTTAAAAAAACCTCAGCTAATCGTGCTTTTTCTACAAATCATCAACCAGTTCATCTGTGTCTCCCGCCCAGTTGGTTCACTGTTAAAGAGTAAAATGCTGCTCTGTACCTTTGAACCATGCAAAGCTCTCGACAGGTGGAGCTGCATCACTGCTGCAGGTCAGAGAGACGGAGCCGCCTTCAGTCACCTCTCCTGCAGGAAACACTGCTATGGAGGTGGAGCGAGGACCATCTGGAGGGAAAACAGGGATTAAGGAGGGCTGGGAGTCAAATAATGCAAGAGGCGTAGTTGATTTTTTTAGGGACATGCAGATTGACTTTGCCAAATCAGGATAATTTAAAAAGGCATGTGCTTGAACATACTGTAAAACTATGCTCTATATGTCTTTTATTCTTCCTTACAATTGCCCCGAGCAGTGCATGTGTACTTACTGTCCAGCCTTGGTTTAGTGACTTAGAGTTGTATTTTCTAAAAATTTAAAGTTCCTGTGTAATGTCTATAGCCCACTGTTTCCAGATGCACCCTTCTTCAAGTTTCTGTTTTGATTGGCTGAGCGTACTTACGGCCCAGAGCCAGGGAGAGGGACGGTGACTGCACATTCTGTGGTGGGATCGGCCGACAGGTGTACGCTCCAACGTGCTGCTGGTCGAAGCGGTTAATAATCATCCATTTCTCGTAGGAGCCGAGGTTTAGCCCGTTCCTGCATGCAGAGCATCACATAATAACCACAGTGTGATAAACAGCATCCCTATTATTTACAGTGTACTACCTGCCTGTGTAATTTACACACCTGTAAAGTGCAAGGCTCCTTCCTGGAGCTGCACATCCTTGGGCCTGGCAGCCGACAAACACTGTCTCTCCAAATCCAAACATGTTGGCGGGTCTGGCTGGATGCACCTGGACCTGGAGGTCTGAAATACATAAAAACACATACATAAACGCTGGCGATGTGAGTGCAGCATAAAGATATCACTTCTGAGATGTCACAGCAGCTTTAGTGTGTGAACCCACCGGTTACATCAAGAGTGATGGTGTCAGGAGAGGTCCATCTCCCCAGCGGCTGGTCGGTCTCAAACCTGAAGTGATACTGACCTGCATCGCTCAGCTTCACACCCCGAATCTGGACAGAACAGCTGGAGTAGCTGCCTCCAATATAGCTGGAATGCAGGATTCAATTATCAGGCTTTATTTCAAACTTATGGAAACTTTTAAAGCCACAATTTGATTTGAAAAACATCGATCATATGTAGGTTCTCCTACCGTGTGCGTCCGCGGTACGACAGGCTGATCTGGTTGGGGTCACTGTGGTGCGTAAACTCCCTGCGACCCTCAGCAGACACACGGAACCACATGACCCGCTTCACAGTGTGACCTGCAAGATTCAAGAAAAAAAGGAATGAAGCTGTATTAACATGGCTGTAATGCTGAGGCTGGACATACAAGATAAGGAGCAACAAATAAAAGAGGCAATGATAACTTAGCTCATGGAGTTGGTTATCTGTTTTCAAGGCCTTATTATATGCAAAGATGACAATCATTTTTTAATATAGATTATTTCTTAGAGGGAACTAAACTACAATAGCAGAACAGAGGGTCTATCTTTGATACCTGATGGGTAGTCATAGCGGCAGGGCAGAGTGACAGTAGTTCCTGCCCACACACAGATCTCCCTCCTAGAAAATGACACACTCCACCTGCTCTCAGTACCTGCATGACACACACGGATAGAAAAAGATGAACATACAGAATCATACACAGCCAGACACACAAATGCAACATGTACTTGCAAGAAATGGAGGAAGTGCTCAGATCTTACACTTAAATAAAAGTACCAAAATGTAGAAATACTCTGTTGCATTTAAAAGCCATACATTTAAATGTATACTTATGCAAACATTTTAAAAGGAAAAGTATTAACAATGCAGAATGACATCTAATCAGTATAACTATTGATGCATTAATGTGTTTATCACTTTAAGATTGGAGCTGGTGAAAGTGGTTTAACTACTTTATACAGCTAACCGGCTGTATAGTAAATTACTTTTTATTCAGGGATTTATAATTCTTAATTTACAATATTAGACTATAATTTATTTGTTGATTTTATTTTGTATCACTAAACTCAACCTGTGAAGTTATTAATTGAATGTAGTTTACTAAAAAGTACAAAATTTCCCTCCAACTTGTAGGGAAGTAGAAGTATTAAGTAGCAGAAAGTGAAATACTCAAGTAAGACGCTTGCAAATTGAAAACTGCACTTTAGCATGGTACTTGAGTAAATGTGTTTAGTTACTTTCCACCACTGGTACCTGCACACATACAAAACAAAGCCCACAAAAACCAAGTGTTACTGTCTGACCATCTGTTCTCATGTTTCCAAACACCAACACAGATTCCCAAATGAACTAACATCCACTGAACGTTTCATCCACAAACCACCTGCCATGTAAAACAGGCTCCTGCAGGTTCAGGGAATACACTCTTGGAAGCTAGAAGAAGTGTAAATTTCAACAAGCCACAAGTAAAATGTTTCCTTCAGCGTGACTCCTCGGAGGAAAACTTGTCAAACCACAGTTCTCGGAGCTCGGTTCAGAGAGTGACACACAAGAGTGGAGCAGTGAGACTGAGCCTGGATGTGCAGCCGTAGTGTCATCCTGTGCTGCTAACTGCCTGCCTGGCTGACTACCTTGCACAAAAGGCAATCAATACTTATAAATAAACCTGAGCGTAAAGGCAAGGGCACCTGGCTGCAGAACCTTTTGTGCATAATAGATCCATTAGTCAGTCAGTCATTCATTTTTAAAACTATTATCACCTGATTTACACTATGTGACACGTTTTAAATGCAACAATGTGTAAATAAAATGCAAATATCTAATAACCAGCTGATCTATCACCCCTTCAAAGGATAATAATACAACTATTTTTGCATCTTGTTCAGTTCAGATTTGCAGCACATGATGAAAATAAAAAGCATTTCTTGTGTATTTTCCTCTCACCTGGTAAAGCTGTAAGGATGGTGCCCAGAACTAACGCACCTGCCAACATCTCCGCTGACACGAGCTCTGTAATGTCACCGGAGAAGGAGAAAAACACAGGGAGACTGAACATCGCTTTAATCAGGATAAAAACCATCCAGCTGATTAAATATAAAGTACTCACCTCTTAGAGTCTCTACATTCACCTCAGCCAGTCAAACAGAGAGAGACTTGTAGGATGTGCGCGACCCCGGATGGAGGTGATTTTTATAGCGATGACAGTTGTGTGGAGATCAGAATGGTGTGACACGGGAGGAGGAGGGGAAGGGGCAAAAGGAGGAGGATGAAGAGGAGGAAGAAGTATATGTGGGGTTTTGTTGAAAGAACATTCCGCTACCTCCTCATCCTCCATCTTTTGACTTTTCTTCTCACTTCTCTGTCTGAAAGTGTTTTTGAAGGTCACCAGCCTGATGACACAAGTTTCCCTTTTTGTGTTGCTGTGAAAATGTGACATCCTTGTGATCGTTTCACTTCCACTGTTTTCTATTTTAACTGAATGAGGCTGTTGTTCTCACCACGGGTTAAATGTCATTGACCTGCAATATGTAAAATTTACAGTAGAACAGTATAAAGACACTTAAGTTACAAGGAATCCAACATTCAGTGTTGCTTTGATTAAAAGTGTCTCACAGATGCATTAACCCTCTGAACCCAGAGCACTTTCTGGACTTTTATTTGCTCCTGTCACATTTTTACTCACTGTGGGCTCATTGTCATTTTAAATGTACCAGCTAATTAGAAACAGCAGACATATGACTAGACCTAAGGACAACTCAAATGTCTTTTCTGCAGTATGACAGTGAAACAAAACAAATGTGAAAGTCGAATTATTTGATTATTTGTAGAGAAACCTGGACAAAATATGTCTAATGCTTTTCAAATGTTCCCAGGTGTTACCAATATTGCAAATATGGAGGTTTCACATACTATAGATAAGATACTTGACTAGGCCTATTTATATGTTTGCAACCTCTGCAAACTAAATGTTTTTTACTCTACTCAGCACATCAACTCTAGACAGATATTTCACCATGCTAAATGTATCTACCAATAGCTTGTTGACAGCTTACTGTTTTTGAGGCATGCTGCAATTTTTTTTTTTTTTTATCAATCAAGTATGTTTTGTTTTCCTCTCAGACTCTCTGAGTTGCCTCTTCACTTGGTGTAAACACAGCCTGCAGTTCTCCTGAAAGTCTCTGAACTGCTGTCACATGACTGTTGGCTGCAGCTGAGTCAGTCGTGGCTTCTCAGTTGCACTGATTCGGTTTTTACAGAATCTGGTGCAAATTGTTTAAATTGGGGAATATTTTAAATGAGTCGTAAATGGATATTGATGTAATGTCACAATTTTACGCTCATATTTGGTTAATTTTCCTGATGGAACCACATGCCACGAAAGATGCATTCAGGGATTGTCGGAGACTAGAAAATCTAACAATTCTTTCTGTTTCTGGCTCTGATGAATGGGGTAATTTTAGTATTTGTTTTTTAAAATAACATGCCTTTGGGGTTTAAAGTGTTAATTAGGGGCATCCAGATGGTCAAAGAGTTTTGGTGCTGCATGAACTGCAGAGAACCTTTGTACAAGTGGCTGAAAGTGAAAGAAATGCACAAGTTGGCCATACAGGAATAAGCCTGCACATTTACAGTTCCTTGAAAAGTGCATCAGTCCATGTAGACCTCCAAATTAACACGTCCAACTTTACAGCAGAAAGAAACCCACTTACAGCCTAGTACAAAAAACTTTTTTTGTCTCTGTATGTGTAATCTTAATGACAATAATACAAACTGTATAGGGGAGGATTTTTTATGTGACTTACCTTTTTAAAATTTGAGACATAAAGTGCTTCGGGGTTTGGCTGCTTTGAGTGAAAGGCAGACATGATTTTAGGACACTCTGTGGCACAGAGATGATTGCATCAGCTCCACCTGCTCATTTTGGATTAGCCGTGAGTTGGTTTTAACCCAGTCAGAACTAAAAAGAGTAAGAGCGTAACTAACTGGTTAAGCATATAAAAAGCCTTTTGGATGAGAGGTTAAATGTCTTCAAAAATCAAAAAGAGAAGCCCAGTTGTAGCTCAACATGTTGAAAAATATCCTTATTTCCATTTTTGTGTAGAAATAGATGAGAGGATCAGCACTGCTCTCCTGTCTGTTTATAGGTATAAAGTTGTTGTTTTTCTGGTTATGCGTCCGACTTTTTCTTAGTTGCACTTCCTGTTGTTCCCGCTGGTAAGCATCTTTAAAGCCACATTCAGAAACAAACAGGCTTTGAACAAACAGTGACACACAGTATATATTAGGTACAATTTTAGATTTATGTCCACCAACACCTGAATAAAGGGTCAGGGTCTTTAAATGCTAATGTTGGCAGCTAGTTTATAGATGGTAAAGAAGGATGTGTACTGAATGCAGCAATGGCAGGCGAGCCCTGTGCATGTAATCCTCCGTCACTAAGTGTGTGTGAATGATTGAATGAGAAACACAGTTTAAAACGCTCTGAGGTTAAAGGTACTATAAGTGTGGATGATTTACCATTAACTGCTTTCAGTTTACTTTCTGAAAACAGATGAGAGGCTGAATCAAAAAAGTTGAGCTGTTGGCTGTAAAGCTGAAACAATGAGTTTGGAAGTGAGAGTCAGGAGATTTTTCTCTGTAAATTGTCTCCATGAGTGATACTTTTTACATCAAGAAATGTGTAGTATAATGCAGCATATTTATCTCGTGGACATACACAATATTCAGTGATCACGCTTATTGCACTATAAAAAGGACAGTAAATCTTCACTCTGACATTGTCACAATATTCGTGCACATTTTGAGCATTGCGACTGACTGATGTACACGTTCTGTTCATTTGTAAAAGGAAACCAGGACCGTTGGCGTACATTAATATACATAAGTCAAGCAGACATAGACTCAGCAGCCCAGATGTCCTCTCATCCACTGCTCTAATTGAGAATTGTTGGCACTGAAAACAAGCCACAACCAGACGTGGGGAGGTTCGAGACCTCTCAGTCAACTGTGTCCACTTAGCTTGATGAGTCTAAATGACTTTAACATCCTACCCTGCCACAACTTGGCCAATAGATGTCAGTTTAGCGTCACAACTCGGCCAATTGGCTACTTAGCCCAGCTTTGACCCGGGAGTAATGATGATGTACAGTTTAACGTTTAAGTCAATCTTTATTCACAGGCATCCAAGTACAGGGAAGGAGCGAGAGTTAACTTAAAGGTTTCAGAGATGATCGTGATCAACATCTGGAAATGGATGTCGACATTTTGCTGATCATGAAGACGATGAACGGAGAACATAAGGATTCATCGCTGTCCGATTAGATCCGATTTATATCCTGCGAGAGTTTAGGATCTGCAGGACCAGTTTTGGCTGGTCTTAGTAGTTTATGACTATATTAGTGGAGTGTTATTTTATTAGATAAGACTCAATGTGTTCCCCATGTAGGTCCTAAAAACGTATAATTCAGTTCAAGAGGTTTACATTAGGTTTGGTGGGAAAACTGATCTCAACTTTAAACAGTAACCTTAATAAGGAACAGAGAGTCTCTGGTTGGGAAAGTTACCTTCAGAATACAATCAAAATCTTCAGGATGTGAGGTTAAATGAACAATATATTCCAGTTCACAGATTGGTAGGTTGCATTATGGCTTGGGACCCAAAATGGGTCGCAGGCCCTCCTCGAGTGGGTCTCCACATGACAGGAACTCTTGTATGATTTAATGATCCTGGATCCCAGAGAGAAAAAAAAAAGTCATTTTGGTCCCTGGCTGAAAAGTTTTAAGAACCTTTACTGATTTTCCCCCCCTCCTCCAAATACTGTCTGTATTATGTTGAGTAGGAAGATTGGTGGGCTTTGAGCTTAACCTGTAACCACAGAATGACTTCAAAAGGATCATGGCACACTAATAGGTCAAAGCCTGATGTAATCTTAATCGAAAACAGACCGGACTAAACGAATGAAGAGAAACAGATGGATGGAGCTAGATTAAGTGTGACTGACCACAAACAGAAAGAGAAAGAGGGTGAGAGAGGGAGGAATGAGAAAGTTTGAAGGGAAAGGTAGGAGAGTGGGGGAAAAAAGAGACAAAAAACATAATGAGGTAAGGTTGCTAAGGCGGAAAGAAAGAGAGGAGAAGACGGGAGATGGAGCAAGAGAGGCAGAGAAAGCTGAGAGGGAAAAGGTCTGAAAGTAGATAAGTGTTACATTTGTCAGAGAAATGGGAAAAAAGTGTGAGCGGGAGCAATAGACAAATGTATGACAGCGTATCCTGCCCTAACGGTAGGGAAGATATCCATTCGTTGACCGCAGCCTCCAGGCCAGATGAAGTGTGACCGTCTGGTGGTCAGACTGGACCTGAAGATTTTCCGCTGTTGCAAAACACTTCCTGCCTGCTGTTTTCATGTAATGTGACCGCTCACAGTTTGCTCCCCTACCATACTTTAAGCTGTACAATATGTTATTTCTATGTTATTCCTTATGCCCACAGATTAGACTCTTGGCTCTCCAGGCCCTCCAGCCTTGGACGAACTCCACATAAGCAAATAATGATTCGACTGTCCAACATGTGTTAGTCTTCATATTGAGTGGTGCTCTCCACAGGGGAAGTCTGGGCAAGAATGACGATGATCAGAGCTACAATCATATCTGACAAGGTGATATGTTGTTCCTGTGCTGTCTGTAAGGAGCTCGACATGATGGCTTGACGAGCAGGATTTTTGCCAAGAGAATCACTGAACCAACGGGGAATTGAACAGAAGAAATGAGGAGAAACTGTGAGGCACAAAGCTCGAATTCCTTCTGACTTACACTGATACATGTTATCAATAAAACACATAGTATTTAGCCACTTACACTCTTGACTTTCACAAATAAGCCAAACCAAACACTTGGTGATTTCTTAAAACTCCTAAATCTTTGAAAGTTATTGAAGTTCTATTAAATTTACCCTGGTTTTGCTCATTCTTGTCCCATTCACAAACTCTGCTGTGGGGTCGGATTTCTGCTCCTTGTCTGCCAGAGACCTGTCTGTGGCTGCTGTGGTATTCCACGCTGAATGAGTCATGTCTGGTGGTTATTATGGGCAGGCGTTTGGCTCCCCCCGACTCTCACCCCGTCTAGTGGCAGCAGACAAAATTACATCTTTTTTTGAGCCTCGGCCAACTGAGCTGACTAAGATCAGGTTCTCATTTA